ACCTCCCGAGCCCGCTTTGTAAATGTTATCGTGAAAGTCTACAGATAGAGGAACAGCGTGTGGGTTGGGTTCTGTGTTATCTTTGATGTCCCCCAGTCCACTTGGATAAGACAGGTCTGCTGTTGTGCAGAAGAAATGCCCACGATTAGGTCTGAGTGTGGAGGAGGCTTTCCCATCTGAAAAGGATTGCTGGATGGCAGTAGACCTAATCTTGTAGGAAGAGAGAGTTCTGGAGAAGTGAGCAAGCATCAAGAAAGGACCTCGTGTTAGCTTATTTTTGGGGGTCAGTCAAGGGGCTTGAACTCAGGGCCTGAGCTCTGTCCCTGAGCTTTTTTACTCCAGGCTAGTGCTCTACCACTTTGAGTTTTTCTGGTGGTTAATTGGAGATGAGTTTCATGGACTTTTCCTGCCTGGGCTGCCTTCAAACTGCAATCCTGAAATCTCAGTCTCCTGAGTTGCCTGGATTACAGGCATGAGCCACAGGCATGCCCGGCTCTCCTGGTAGCTTTTTGTAGCTGTGAAACCTACCCTTCTTTGGTAAGCTCTTGTCATGTGTCATGTCTCTTGACTCCTATTCACAACCAGTGTTTCCTTGTTGTTTTCAAATCAGTTTATCTGAGGGTCAAACCCAAATGCTTAAATCCCAAATGTGTCTACCTGCATCCAACACACATTTGCATTTTCCCCAATATGAAGTCAAGTGGTGACAGCGGCTCTGCATCCAGGACACATACCCGCCCCCCCCCACGCACCACACACACACACACACACACACACACACACACACACACACACACACACACACACACACACACACACACACACACACACACACACACACACACACACACACACACACACACACACACACACACACACACACACACACACACACACACCCTACTGAGTTTGGAAGTAGTCTCACCTGCTACAAAGTTGGAATCCTTTCTTCTAAAATGAAGACACCAAGATTGATTGAGGATTTTTCCCCCTCTAGAGACAATGAATGGTATTTTAGGAGCCCTAAACTAGGCTCTAAGGAGGTCAGTTCCAAGTTTTGTGTCCCTGACTTTCAGCTCATAGGCCAATTGGGCAGATAGATTTCCTGCATCTTAACTACAAGAAAGATCTTATCAAGCAATATGAGTTATGTCTTCCTTCCTCTTTTAGGGGTTCAGTACATCAGAATTTTGCCGACTTCACTTTTGCAACGGGTAAAATCCTTGGGCAGAAACTTACATTGAAAGGCAACCTGGACTCAAATGTAGTGATGGACCTCAACAACAAAGCCTCCTTAGCATTCTTGCAAAAGTATTTAGGTAAGAGGGGCGGTGCTTCCGTGGCCTAAGCTGGTTGGTTCTCTCTCGTCCTCACTCAGCCTTACTTTCCAGTGGAACGAGGCTGTAAACACAATTTGAACACAAAAATCTGAGCAAGTGTTGCACTGCATGCGAGATATCGCAAGACGCCATCTATTGTTAAGGTTAACAGGCTTCCTGGCTGGACTTTGTGTGGGGAATGACAGCAGCAGGGTGAATCTCTGTTCTCCTCTGCTAAAGCCCTTGGGACAGTTTACTCGGCCTTTACAATCCCTGCCCTGTTTGTGTCATTTGTGATTCTAGGGTGCCCCCTAGCGGCACCGAACTAATGCTGTCAAATCATTTTCATTCTTTTTTTTTCATGTTTTTGTTTTGTTGCAATCTTATAGGACTTGAAAAAGACTTTGATCAATGGGACCCGCTGATGGAAGGAGATGATGTAAACCTTATTCCAGGCTTTCCACTTGACACAACCACCACCCAAGCCTCCATGGATAAATAGAATTTATTTTAAGGGGGGTGGGCAGGGAAGGAGGGAAGGGAAGAGAGTTAATTTTTTATCTTAAAAAGGCAAGCTGTATTAGAATAGTGATTGGGACTCAGGCTAAGATTTTTTTTTCTTTAACTGTAACAAATATACCAGCCCCAATTGTAATTTTACTAAGATGATCTTTTTTTTATATAGTACCAAAATTTAAAACTGCTTTTGTATGGCTTTAATGGGAGAGTTTATTAAAAAGATACAGTGCCAATGGTAAACAGTTGGGATGCTGCAAGATTCCTTAAACATACCATACAGTTAGATGTTCTTATCTTTTGCTATTATGAACATTATTGTTTTAATAATGTAATATTCCAGAATTGGGCAGTTTCTCTTTGACTTCTGGCCCTGGTAAGGAAAAGTGGATGAAGGCTAAGACAGGGACAACTGAGCCAAGAAGTAATTCGTCTTCACTTCTAATGCTTTCTGCCACACATCCAACAAAGGAGCCATTGGTGTTACAGGTAGCACAGGACATTCCAGAGATTCCAGTGGTGGTGTAACACAGTAGCAAATTAAGCAAACATTCAGAGTAACACTTAATTTCATTTGCATTGTATATGTCTTGGTTCTTGGGGCCTGAACTCCAGGCCGGGTGCCATCTGAGTTTTTCTCAACACTAATGCTCTACCACTTCAGCCATGCTTCCACATCCAGCTTTTTTAGGTTAACTGGAAATAAGAGTCTCATGGCCATATTGCACCAGGCTGGCTTTGAACTACAATCCTCAGATCTCAGCCTCCTGGGTATAGCCAGGATTATAGGCATGAGCCATCCATGTCTTACTCAACACTTTTTTTTTTTTGCTGGTCCTGGGGCTTGAAATCAGGGCTTGAGCACTGTCCCTGAAGCTTCTTTTGCTCAAGGCTAGCAGACTACCACTCAAGCCACAGTGCCACTTCTGGCTTTTTCTGTGTAGGTAGTACTGAGGACTCGAACCCAGGGGTTCATGCATGCTAGGCAAGCACTCTACCACTAAGCCACCTTCCCAGCCCTCAACTCTTTTTAATGGAAACACTTTTCCACTTCATGGAAGCAATATACCAAGTGTTTAAGGTTCCTACTTTTCACTACTTGGCGTTAGGCATTAACATTTGACAATGTTTCCTAGATTTGCACCTGTCCGCTTTTCCGGTTATCATTTGGCCAAACTTCTTACTGACTGATAAACTGACAAACATTCCAGTTGTATGTGTTTCCTTCAAGGGGACTTTTGCATTGGTTCATACTAAATGACATCGTGGGAGTTTCATCATGGTATTTCCAAGCATGCATGCAAGGCACTGTGCTCATATTTTCTCACCTAGTCTCCTTCCTTGGTCCCCTCCCCCCTCCTTCCACCCTTCCCCTTCGCGTCTCAAGTCCTAATCGGAGGTGGAATGCCTACTCTGTTTCAGGCCCATGCCACAAATTATTCCTGCCATCAACACTGCAGTAACGCTTTGACCATCAACATTTTACAGATGAGGAAGTGCAAGATTCAAAGGTATTTTCACACCCATCTCAGTCACCAGTCTAGAAAGCACACGCACCTAAGGCAGACATCCAAAGCTAGGGGCTGTATGCTTCTCATACCACAGGACATGCAAAAAGGCCCAGGCAATTTCTTTAACGTGTTTATAAAGCATCTAGTTTTTTTAACCTATAAAAGAGGGGCAACATTACTATGCATGTCAGGGTGGATGGTAAAAATAGAAAAAAAAGGTCTTTCAAGTCCAGCAGATACTCAAGAAGGCTGAGGTCTAAGGGTCATGGTTCAAAGCCAACCTGGGCAGGAAAAGTCTGTGAGACTCTTAATCTCTCTTAGCCAGGACAAAAGCTGGAAGTGGGGGTGTGGCTCATGTGGTAGAGCACCAGTCTGCAGCAGGAAAAGCTAAGAGACAAGAGCTCAAGCCCCACCACTGGACACATGCACATACACGCACACACATACACACAATATTCATAATAAGTCCAGCCAGGTGACTAACATTTAATATTACTCTCCCACCCTCTCTCCACAATTACGGAGGAGGAAAGATGGAACAATTCGATAAAAATTAAATGAGGCCACCATGCCTTTTCAGATAAACTTTATTCAAATCTTGTGTTGTATTAGCATACTTCGAACTTCCAAACAGAATAGTAGTTAAATGTTTAACTAGACAGATATAAGGCAAAGCTTCAAAATCAAAACAAACAAACAAAAATCTGAACAAGCGACTGCTAACAAAACCACCCTCCTACGTAGCATCGCACTACGTACTTGTCCTGAACTTACATTTTTCCTATTCTAATGCAAATGCTCTATCGAAAAGGTACCGATAATTTTTGGGGGGAATTGTAGTAATGTGTTAGCAAATTTGTTTTGCAAACTAAATCCTCCTTGCATGTCCAGCAATCCCACTCTGAACACACTAGCTGGGCAACCTGAGACCAGCTTCATTTCCAAAGATGGTGACTGGCAGTCACATGACCTCAGGGTTTCTCAAATACTCTTGGTCTAGGTAAGGTGTGTCTCCTTTCAGAGCAACTTCTGGTCCCGCCATGGGTCTGTAATTAATCGAGGTCATCACCACACTCCTTTTCTGAAACAAGGAGAGAAAATCCTTAAGCTGAGAAAGAGACATGGAAACAGGGAAATGATTTGCTCATTTCTGTGTAAATGTCTTCTGAACGAGGAAAGAGAGAGAGACCACTAGGCTCATCAGGGCAGAGAATGCTCCTCGGCCAACAACGGTTTTTCTTTTTAATGTTTTGGTTGCACCATTCATATGGAGTTTCTTTAGAAGAATATGAAATACCAGCAGAGTCTCCATTTTTCAGGAATGAGGTTAGCAAGGGTGTCTCCTTCCCAGAACTAACTTTATTCTGAGTGGACCTCAATTTGAAAAACCAAAGAGCTGTTTACAAATGGTAATGTGCAATTCTTACAACATCTACAGATAAACTAAACTTTCAGAAATTCCCAAATATGGGCAGTGATCGTGTGCACATTATAACCTTAATTAAGGCTGATGAAAAACTCTGAAACTGTGCAAGTTAAGAATTTATCACTCATTCTTTTACTTTCAAGATTTCTTCAACTAGCCAACACAAATGTCTTCTGATGTTACAAGACATTACAAGACATCTTCCTCTGGGTTATTTATCCCCATAAGCCCATTTAAGCATTGTCTTTTTTTTAATTTTTGGTACTACAAATGCTCAAGGAAATTAACAAATCATTTTGATTGAGAGATTTGGGAAAATGGTATCTGTAAGACTTGGCCATTGTAGATGATACAATTTTGATAGAAAACTTGACTTACCTGTCATTGTGACATCTGGTGACAGGAAGTAATGATCTTTTCCCATTGTTTGGAAGACAGCCTGACAAAAGGAACCTTGGGATTATAATCAGTTTTTTAAACAGGGTAAGTACATTGCAATTTGAATCAGAAACAGAACTATAGACGAGCCAGAAAAAAGATGATAATAAAAGTATTCCCTTCACAAGTATGACGATCCTATTTCATAATGAAGAAACACTCCTGTATATTTTCTTTCTGGGCTTGGATGCTGTCCCTCAGCTCTTCTGCTCAAGGTGAGTGCTCTACCACTTGAGCCAAAGTGCTACTTCTGGCTTTTTCTGTTTATGTGGTGCTGAGGAATCGAACCCAGTGCCTCATGCATGGGAGGCAAGCACTCTATCACTGAACCATCTTCCTAGCCCCATCCTATATATTTTCTAGTCTTCAAATACTCCTTTCTCTGAAACATCACCATTGGAGCATTTCATACAGGGAGTTCAGTTTCCTTATCCAATTTTTGGGCTCCAGATCCCTGGCAACTTCAGTGTTTGGCCAGGGAATGAGGAATTTCCAAGGAATTGCTATTCAAATGTGGTCCAAGGTGAGCCACTTAACACTTAATGAAGAGGAATATATGTATTCTGCATAACTCCATATATCCTGCTTGATATAATGTAGGGAAAATGAAATATTTCACGCTAAAAAATTCTAAGAGATATAATAAGAAAGATACCCAGATCACAATGACTTCAAGTATCATGTCAGATATAATATCTCCTAATATTGGCTGTTGTATATGTGTGTGTGTGATTCTAGGGTTTGAGCTTGGAAGTTCATATTTGCTAACTCTACTCTCCCAGCCCTTTGGTGATTTTTGAGAGGTCCTTGCCTTATGCTCAGGCTGGCCTGGACTGTGGTCCTCCTATTTGTACATCGGTAGGATAACAGGTATGTGTCAGAGCCAGCCAGGCAGTCCCTAAAGCAGGATGACAGTCCTGGTGCCCAGCCAGCCACGGGTTACAGTGGAGCATCTGCCTCCCTGTGCAGCTAGGACGGTAAGCAACTCAGAACATTGACCATTTTGAGGGAAATTAAGTGGATTATTTATAAAAATGGATATTCTTAACAGCACCTTCAACTTAGACATGGGTCATTAACACCAAACATCTTTTCATTCATTAAGCTCAGAGTGAAAAAAAAATCAAGGAATACGACGTTATCATTTTGAATAAGACGTTATATCACTTTTCCCCCAGATGATGCATGACATTAAAATGTCCAGAGCACTGGTTTTGCTGCTCTTTTGCATTGGTTTTTGGTTTTGGTTTTTGACACAGGAGCTTGCTAAAGAGTTCAGGCTGGCCTCAAACCTTCCATGCTCCTGCCTCAGCCTCTTGAAGGCGGGGATAACAGGCATGCACTTCTATGCCCGGCCCTGCTGTTTTCACATGCTGTTGTTAGAAACACAAGATTTTTCTTTCCCCCTTCATTTTTTCTAATACAAGGGGCTTTGGAAGGCTTGCTGCATCCCGTTTCAAAATGAAGACCACATGCTCACATTTGATTGTTTCCTAATTCCATACCTCAGACGGACCCTGGTCTAATTTGGGAATGCCATTCCAGACGTTCTCAGGGCTTACGATCTCCTCTATGCCATTTGAAAGATTCAGAACCTACCAGAGAAAACACAATAATCAGCAAACCTGCCAAGCTCCTGAAACTGCCACGCATTTAAGCAGCATGCCAATCCTGAACGTGAAACACTTTCACGGATACTTAAACCTTTAACTTTAGGATACATGAACCTTTAACTTTAGCTCAATGCGTCTTCAGTTCAACTTGCATGTTCTGAGTGTGGCTGCCTGATGATTAAAAATAAAATCAGCCAGGTGCCAGTGTCCCATGCTTATCATCCTAGCTATGCAGGAGGCTGAGATATGAGGATTATGGTCAAAGCCAGCCCAGGCAGGAAAAGTCCATGAGACTCTCATCTCCAATTAACCACCAGGAAGCCAGAAATGTTGCTGTGGCTCGAAGTGGTATAGCTCTAGCCTTGTGCACAAAAGCTGAGGGGCAGCAACAAACAAAAATATCCTAATAAACCTGGAGTTCAAGCTCCAGGACCAGCAAAAACTAACAAAACAAAATAAGAATCAGATTTAGGCCTCAGATGTTGCAAATGTCACAGAGCAAAGACCTGTGAGTACATGAGCAAAGGACATTGCAGGGCTCACTTGCTCCTGCAATCCGCAGCCAGACATCCATTCCCATGCTTAGAGGGATGAACACAACACAGACACAAAGCTCGTCACAGGGCAGTGGTATGGAGGTGATGACGACAATGGGAAATTTACAACACGATGCCAGCAAGGGCGTCCGAGACGGAGCAAGGACTCAAGTAAATGGTTAGAAACGGGAGTTGGCCTCTTCATCAACAGGCATGGAACCCTGTCCAGTCACAACTGTGTTATTATTGAATGCCCCCAAAACAGCAAGGAGAGCAATCTACACAGATATAAAAAGCCACCCACATACATTATAGACAAGATAGATGAGGAGCCAAACATCATGGTCTCCTTTAATACACAGAAGTAAACATAACAAAGTAAGACCTAAGGCTGAAAAGGTAGATGGACACCCAGCCCAGGAGGGCCTCCTGGGTCACATTAATGAGCCTAAACTTTATGTTCTAGATGCGTGTTCCTAACATTGTAATGAGGTGACGATGCAGATTCTAGAATCCTGCCCCCCTCCCACAAATTCTGAATCGGTAGGTAAAGCCAAGACCAAGGAATCTGTCATGTAAAGAAAATAGGCCAGGTGATTCTAATAAAGTAGTTTTCATATTACAGGAAAAACACAGCAAAAAGTGATTACACAGAAAAATGTGTATAGATTTTTCTATCATAAACTTTGTACTAGCAGTGTGGGCATTCAGCTGAAGGGAAACTAGAAGCAGTAAATCAAATAAAATGTTGTACCTGTAAAATGAGGGACTCAACAAATTACCAAAGGGAACAAGCAGGTGTATAGCTATCAATCGTATTCTGTAGTCCTGTACATGTTAGTAAAATTCTTTAACAGTCCACGAGTGTTCATTGAGTTAAAGGCCTTAAATGGTTCTTACCCTTGTTCCTCCTTCGGCTATTTCCAAAATCTCACATTTAGACCATGTGTTTCTCAGACTCGACCACACAACACATTTGGATCCAACCGTAAATCCTTTCAGGGTGTAGGTGTTCTGTAGCTGAACTGCCAAATTCAATAGAGTAAAAGATATACAAGAAGACTATTTTCCTAATGTACTTGTTACTCCCATATAATCAATACTGTTTAATTCATACATCATCACAATGTTTTGATTTTTGTTTTAACTCCTTCCAGTGTCCTGACCCCACATTTGCTACCACTGTAGCAAATAGATTTGAGAATGGAAGTTTGAAGACAGCTTGGGAGGAAATTCCATGAGACTTTTATCTCCCCAATTCACCACAAAAAACTGAAAATGCAGCTGTGGCTCAAGTGGTAGAGTGCTAGCATTGAACAAAGAAAGCTTAGGGACAGCACCCAGGCCCTGCGTTCAAGCCCTAGGACCACTAAACACAAAAACTGATCATGAAAGACTGCAAGTTAGCTATTTAATGTAACTCTCAAATCTTAAACAGCAAGTAAAATAGCCAAGAAAGCCAAATATAGTAAATATTCTCCAAGTTTTATGAATTTTTTAGCTTTTGTTTGATGGATATAGGTTCCCTAAATTTATTTTTTTAAGTATTTCTAAACAAGTGGCAAGAAAGATTCCACTTGTCAATTTCTGTTGGCAGGATTGCTTGGCAAAGAGAATGCTGTGTGTGTGTGTGTGTGTGTGTGTGTGTGTGTGTGTGTGTTTGCCAGTCCTGGGGCTTGAACTCAGGGCCTGGGCACTGTCCCTTAGCTTATTTTGCTCAATGCTAGCACTCTACCACTTGAGCCACAGCACCACTTCCAGCTTTTTCTCTTATGTGGTACTGAGGAATTGAACCCAGGACTTCATGCATGCTAGGCAAGCACTCTACCACAAGACACCTTCCCAGCCCAAATGCTGTGTTTTTAAAACACTGTTGTCTTTTTAAAGATGACTTCCCTCACTTTCTAAACATGATTACCTTTTGGTGACATAGATTCAAGCATTTAATGTTTTGGAAACAAAATGATTATTTCAGCATTTCATTCAGCATATATATATATACATATATATGTATATGTATATATACACACATGTATATATATACATATATACACATATACATATACACACCTATGTGTAGATATTCATATATATATACATGTATATATATATATTTGCATTGATTACACAAGCGTGACCTCTCCAAATACCCTATGTAAGATCCAAACTAGAGTCAGGTTTCTGCTTTTAACCTAGCAATCAATTCCGGCAACTCCTCTTACAAGTAGTCCCCCTTTCTTTGAAATGCATAGGAACTTTCAAAGGACCTTAGGTGAAACTTAGGAGTGACCGGGAGCAAATCCACATACCTGAGATGTGATCTGGTGACCCGTGAATGTGCTTTCCTCCATCTCTGGCCTCCTCCTTGGAGAACAACGGGGTCAGCGATGAGACGGCATTCCTGCCTTGATAGTTTGGAAACTCTTCTTCAAACAGACTCACGTTGGTGGGCTCTGAGACCTCACAGTTCTCCCTACAATGGCACAAGGCCACGGGGTGCTGCTCATCATCAAAAGATGCTGCACCGCTAGACTTCCTCCTGTCTTCTGCACATCTGGATTCTTGAACCTTCTGAGCAACTCTTGCCGACAAAGAAGTCAGGCTGTCCTCCAGAGACATCTGGGACAGGAGCAGTTCTAGTTCTGGTTGCTTCTCCACTTCGCCTTTGAGGGAAAGCGGCGCTGGGAATGGTTCCAGGGTGGCTTCTGGGTCATGTCCTGGGGACGGGGGCACCGTGGGTGGCCCCAGGCCTAGGTCCTCTTTCTCTTCATCGCCCACTAAGGAATGCTGTAGTTCAATGGGTTCCAGATCCAAGAATGCTTTGGATTCATCATCAGGGGAGAGCGGCACCTCCAGTGAATTCACTTCCAACAGCTCCTTCACCTCGCTAGCGAGGGGCGACGTGGTGCTGAATCCTGCAATCAGGTACTTCTCGTCAAACTTGTCTGGGTCCCCCAAATGGCACTCCATGCCCCCCACTTCCAGCACCTCCGACGCCATGTTATCTTTGCAGGACTTTTCAAATGCTTCGAAAACGTTATCAGGGCCCAGGTCGTAGAATTTGCTTGGCTTGGTGTCGAGCACGTTCAGCTCTTTCTCACTTCTGTCGGGGAGTTCGTCCATCGGTGGCTCTGCATACGACACTTGCTCTTGTCCAGCTTTGCTTCCTGGTTTCTGAGGTCCCACGTCAGGACTGGGGGGCCCCAAGGCTCCTTTGATCTCGGGGCCCTTTTTTTCGTAGTTCAGGTCACTCTTGGGAGTCCCCATCTTGGAATACTTCTTCATCTTCTCATTGATGCTCTCGCCTTTGCTTTTCAAGTCCACGATTGCTAAGGGGATATCGCACACGTCCCGCCGGACCTCCAGGATGGTCACTTCCAGCACATCCTGCGTGACTATTTCGTAAAAGTAGTCATTGCCCTCTTGAGGGCACGTGCCTTCTGAGATGTTAAACCCCGCCAGGCAGCAGGGGAAAGCTTGCATGGGGACCATCAACAGCTCACAGGGAATGTTCCAGACAGCTTTGGGGTCCACGCAGTCCTCGATGTTTCCAAAGTCGACGAGCCTGACGGACAGGAAATCGTCTTCACAGATGCTCGTGATGAGGGCACGGTAATAATGCCCGTCCTCCCTGTATTTGACTATACAGGGGTTGCCAATCTGAGGAGAGTGGATGCAATTCCTCCACTCCAGAATCTGCTTTCCAGCATTCTGAACTTCTGTTTCTAAGTACTGGAGTTCCTCAGTGTTTGCAAACTGACACCAGAAATACTCAGGCCCATCGATGACAGTGGCATAAGCTCTGACCACCTTCATCTGGGGATTATACCAGTTCAGAAATACTGAGGTGTCGATGTCCGATTTGTTGGCAGACTTTGAGCGGTCCCCTTTAATGATTGGCGTAGCCAGGCCCGCCCGGGGTTTTTCAATGGAAGCGTATCTGTTCACCACATCTTCTGCTATCATGCCTTGGTCATCAGTAAGAATCACTTCCCATCTGTCCTGGAATTTAATGAATTCACATCTTATTTGAGCTTCGTCAGTCCTCTGGGAAAAGTAAGATGTGATTTCCTTACAGTTGATGATGTCAGGGACACAAAGTCCTCTTAAAGAGCAGTGGACACACAGGCCTGGCAACAGCGCGTTCACCAGGTCAAGCCTGCCGGTTTTGTTGGCGTGAACCACAGACACGTTGCCATAGTCTATAAACTGCACCGAGAGGAAGTCGTTGGACTGCCGTTCCCGGACCACGGCGCGATACCACAGGTTGTCTTCGGGGAACAAGGCACAGATGACATTCCCGCTTTGCAGAGGCGGCCCAGTGTAACACTGGGGGCGCGTCTGAGCATTATTTAGTCTCTCGGAAAGACGGTTGATTTCGGCTTCGTCATCTATGAGCTGCACATAGAAATCGGAGACGTTGTTCACGTGTGACACATACACCGTCGTTTTCAAGCCGGGCGAGATGGTCTTCTTCGGGAGCTCGCAAATTTTTCGAGGTAAATCTTTGTTCCCAGGGTCCCCTGCCCGTCTCTCTGCAAAGGTGCTCTCCACCCTTGACATCTGCGGAGGTGGTTCCTCAAAGATGTCTTTCTTGTCTCGTGCTAAGGGAAACCCTGGCTCGTTGGTGTGTTCCACTGGGTCCTGATATTGAGGGAATAAACTGGCCTTCGTGGGGCTCTGTAAACTCTTGAACTCTTTACACACAGAGATCATCTTAGGTTTGCACGCGTCTCCGAACATCTCCATGCTGTGTAATCGGCTCTCTCCCGACTTACTTAGATACACGGTAGGAGACAGCTTCACGCTCTCGTGTTTGTCTTCCAGCGTTTCGGAGGTGAAGAATGCTTCACTTTCTTTCTGTGTTTTCTTTACCTCATTCTTACAACCCAGCAGCCCTAGCTTCTCATTGATGCCAGCATTGATTTGGATACTGTCATCGTAGAGTTCTATAATCAGTCTTCCGTCAGGATCTTTCGCCACCACCAAGGCCTTCAGGGATTTGTCTAAAATGGTCTCTTGGAACCATGTTGTCACTTCTTCCGGAATGTGGCTGGGGATATCGGACAAGGAGCATTTGACGGCTTGCATGGGCAAGAGCAAAACGTCATACGCATCCCGGGGTATAGGCAGGAGGTTCTCGCTGGTTACATAAATGTTCCCAAAATCCACAAAGAAGACTTTATTCGGATCCTTTTCTATGATCACCCCTCGGTACCAGTTGCTATCTGTGTACTTGGCAAGACACAGGTTCCCAGGGACCGAGGGAGACGTGTTCAGCTTCAGCAAAACTTCACTTAGCTGCGTGATGCTGTACGACAGCTGTTCCAAAACACCCGAGTTTCTCGCCAGCTGGAAGTAAAATGTCCAAGGGTCGTCGACGTGGGTTATGTACACGGCTTCTTCACTCCCGATTTTCAGATCGTGGGTGGAATAGTAGTAGGAATGGAGCTGTACAGAAGCTTCCAGAGGCTTCTGAAGCTTTACCGGCCTCGCAAGTCTCTTCTCTACCAAGAAATGGCAGGCGCTCTGAAAGGGAGTCAGCAAGTCCACGACATTAAACAGTTCTGCATCCTGGATGGACGCCAGAGCAAAGATGGTGCATTTTAACTCGAGGTTGTTCTGCCAGGCATTGTCGACAAACCCGCTGAACGCTTGGACCGCCTTCTCGTCCCACACAAAGGGATTTTCCCCCGTTGGCTGAATTAAATTATAAAGGCTGCACCGGAAAGCCTGCGCTCTAACCGCGAGAAAGTCGTCGGCCATTAAGTACAGACTTCTCACAGACACGGTGTCTTTGTCCCCATAATCAATGAAGCTCACGCTGACGTGTTCTGAGGACGGAGCCCCGCAAATCAGTGCTCGTGACCATTTTCCAGTCTTTGCCCTCTTGGTCAAACAAGCGGGGGTGGTGGGTTGGTAAGGGGCCGGGGTGCTTTCGCAATAAGCTTCAATATCGCACATCAGAGTTCTAAACCTTTGCGTGTTCCTGGACAACTGACACCAGAAGGAGCTGGGGTTCTCCACGAAAGACACCTTCACTTCTACCGTGGTTCCCACCTCCAGTTCGCCTTTCCAAGAACAGTCCGACTTGGTGGTCAAGAAACTGGGGACCAGAGGGGATCCCTTCTCCTTGTCCGGTCCAACTTGTCCGGCCAAAACACTTGTCACCATGGTTGGGTCGCTGGGGGTTTCTAAGGCAGAGGTGGTGGCTTTATTTTCCACCTTGGCTCTCTGCTCTCCTGCCTTTGCGGCCGCAGTGGTTTTGGTATTCTCGGGGAGATACCCGCTGGCCAGGTGCCCTGGGGCTGGCCCGTTTCCTTTGGTCTCAAATTCCTGATACTTGGCATAGCCGGCCTGGGCAATCACCTTGCTAATGTTTTCCTCTCCGGTGCGAGATTCGTCGAGAATCTCGATGATGTACTGGTGGTCCTGCTTGTCCAGGATGTGGATGACAAGTTCCTTGTGAAGGACTGTCTTCTTGAAAAAGGAGATGGCCTCCTGGCTCCAGCTCTTCCCCAGAGGCCAGATGTCGGCCAGGGCGCACCGGAGGGCCAGGACGGGCAGCTGCCTGAACTGCGGGAGCAGCATCCTCACGTCGTACCAGTCCACGGTCTCCGAGTTCCCCCGGTCCACGAGGAACACGTCCACGCTCTTGCCCTCCAGCCTGGTCACCAGGGCCCGGAAGTAGCCATTTTCCTTCCACTTGACGCAGCAGAGGTCGTCGGGCTCGGGTTTCAGCACCACGCCGTCCAGCTTGCTGGCCGACGAGTAGAAGCTGCCCATCTTCCGGGCCAGCTTGTTGAAGGTGCCGCCGTGCTTCCGCAGCCGGATCCAGAACTCCGACGGGCTCCGGACGAACTCCACCTGCGCGTCGTAGAAGGCGTTCATCTTCAGCTTGATCACCTTCAGGGCCCGGGGGCAGGCGTCCTGGTGGTGGTCGTCCAGGGCCAGGGGCGGCGCGGGGAAGGCCGTCTCCGCGTCCTCCTCCTCCTCCTCGTCGTCCTCGTCGCCGTCCTCGTCGTCGTCGTCCTCGCCGCGCCCGTGGCCCCGCAGGAAGCGGTCGGCCAGGCAGCACGACTGCACCCCGAAGGCGCTGTTCAGGTTGAGGCCGTCCTCCCCGTACAGCGTGACGTAGTACACGTGCTCGAAGGCGCAGTAGAACTCGATCTTGGCGTTCACCGCCTGGCCCAGGATCAGGGCCTTCAGGTCGCCCACCTGGGAGCGCGACCAGCCCCGGCCGCAGTCCCAGAGCCCGTACAGGGCGCACGGGTAGGTGACCACGGGCATGCGGAAGTACTCGGGCAGCAGGTAGCGCAGGCTGCTGCCGCTCACCAGCTCCTTGCGCCCGTAGTCCACGTGCAGCACCTGGGCGCAGCGCTGGGGCCGGAAGGTCTCCAGCAGGAGCGCCCGGTACCAGCGCCCGTCCAGGCCGCACGAGGCGCACGGCGAGCCGGGCTTGTCCGGGCTCTCCTCGCGCTCCTCGCAGGGGGCTCCGCCTCCTCCTCCTCCTCCTCCGCCCGCGCCGCCGCCGCTTCCGCCGCCACCGCTTCCGCCGCCGCCGCCGCCGCCGCCGCTGTCGTCCCCGGTCGCCCGGGACGACGCCCGGTACACCTGCGCCATGCTCTCCGAGAGGCGGCGGATCTCCTGCGACAGGCTCCGCAGCTGGCAGTGGATGCGGTGCGGGTGGCACACCTGCGTGACCACCACGGGCTCCGTCACGCCCAGCTGCAGCTGCGGGTAGAAGTAATCCAGGCCGGGCGGCTCCTGCTTGGGCAGGACCCGCGGGAGGACCGGGGTGCCCGCGCCCTTGCCCACCGACACCAGGTAGCGCTTGAGCAGGAAGCAGAAGAGGCTGTCGGGCACCTGGCGCGCCAGGCCCAGCTCCTGCATCTGCTGGAAGACGGCGGGCACCTCCAGCAGGACCAGGCGGTAGGGGAGCAGCACGTCCATGACGCGGCCCCGCAGCTCCTGGCCCTGCAGGCCGCTCAGGAAGTCCACGGCGCCCGGCGCCCAGTGCTGCGGCTCGCCGCCGCCCGCGCCGCCGCCGCCCGCCGGCACCAGGCCGGCCAGCACGCAGCCCAGCACCTCCGACGGCAGGTGGAAGAACTCGCCGCGGCCTGGCGCCAGCGAGCCCGCGCCCGCCGCGATCGTGCGACCCTCATCCAGCAGGAAGACGCGGCTCTCCTGCGCCTGCCGGCTCACCACGCGGCAGCGGTGCCACAGCAGCCCCACCTGCACCAGGCACAGCTCGCCCGGGGCGGCCGGGGCGCCGCCCAGCGCCCAGGGCCCGCGCGTGGCCGCCGCCTCCTGGATCTCCCGGCTCAGCCGCACGTACTCCTCCCGCCGCTGGCCCACCAGGCCCCACAGCTGCACGGGGATCACCTCCGGGTGCACGTCCACGAAGGTCACCCGCAGGGTCAGCGACGCCCCGGGCGGCGGGAGCCCCGGCGTCCAGCTCATCGCTGCGCCCGAGTGTGCGTGTGCGTGGGGGGGAAGGGGCGGGACGCCCGGCCCGGAGCCGCCTGGGCGGGGGGGGGGGGCAGTATGTGTGTGGTGGGGGTGTGTGTGGGGGCTCCGATCCGGGCTGGGGTTCCCGGTCGGCGTGGGCGGGGGCGGCTCAGGTCGCTGCGTGGGCGGGGAGGGGGGTCACCGATCAGCGTAGAGGTCTCCGGTCACCGGCGGGGTCTCCGGTCACCGGCGGGGTCTCCCGGTGGTCAGGACGCGCGCCGACAACTGGTAAGACCCGGCACCCCACCAACGGCCCCCGGTGCCAGCGCCGGCGGGGCCCGCGCGCGGCTCGGGCGGGCGGGGGTGACGGGCGACGCGGGGCTCAGGGGTGGAGGCCCCGGGGCACGGGGCGCCCGGGAGGCCGCGGGGCGGGAGGGGAAGGGCACGACCTGCTTCTCCCCGACCCGGCGTGGGGACCCCGCCAGACAGTTGACCCTCCTGGGGTCCCTCCAACAAGTACCGAGGGAGCACTGCGCGCCAAGCACCGCGCTAGCCATTGGAGGAGTTCCCGTGAGAGGCGGGAACGAGCAAGGGAGGCGCCAACGGCGGGCGGCGCGTTCCCGTTCCCGGGCGTTGAGGCTGGAACCCTTCGCTGGGGGGAAGCGGGGAGTGGCGGGCGGGCCAGGGGCGGGCAGTGCGCCTGCGCCCCCGGGGCGGGCCGGAGGGGTGCACGGCGGGCACGCTCCCTCCCGGGGTGGCCGGCGCAGGGGTCTGGCTAGGGCGGGGGGGGGGGGGGGTGGGCACTGTCTGGCGAACCCGTGTCTGAGCCTCTGCAAAGTCCGGCCCGTCCCGGTGGCGCGTGGAGATACCCAACGCGAGCTGGGCGAATGAGTAGTGCCTCTCCTCCCCTTCCCCCCGCCCCCCGGCCCTCCCTCCGACCCCCGAAGATCCTGGAATCATGACAATATTTTCTGTCTCTCCGAAGTTTATTATTCTGGGCACCTCGAACAAGTGAAATCATAGAAGATGGTGCCCATTTGGGCTTGGGTTATTTCACTCAGACTATTTTTAAGGCTCATCCTTATTGTACTACCCTTCCTTTCTCCCGGCACTAAAAGGAATAATGTGTGTGTCACATTTTAATCTAGTCATTTGTCAATAGACATTTGGGTGCTCTCTACATTTTGGCCATATGCATAACGCTGTTTTAAAAATTGCTATACACCCATCCCAGTTTGTGCTTTCAATGGTGTAAGTTAAATACTTGGAAGAAAAATTGCTGGATCATGATAATTATGTTTATTTTAGAAACCCCTGTTTTATTTTTTTTAACAGCAGCCGCACCATCTAACACGACCATCAGCAATGCTCAAATTCCAATTCCTTCAGTCTTTTCCTATCTATCTATATGGTAGCCATGTCACATGGCGTGAAGTGGTACTCCTGGAGTTTTGTGTCCATGTTCATAAGAGATACTTTTCTGAAGACACACACACACCTTCTGAATAAAAGGAAAACAATGAGAAATTAAAAATGACTATGAGAAGAGAAAGAAAATTCTGAAAACAACAACAAAACAAATAGCAAATTGAGAGGACAGAGAGAAAAAAAAATGGTGCAAAACTATTGCTATTGAGAAATTTAAGGTCAGAAGGATTGCCAGCCATCCTGGTGGAGATGTAGCAGAGGTACTGAAGACAACATAATCAAAGCTTGAGAAATGAGTAAGACCCAGAAGTACAGACTATGATACCAGTTGCCTTTCAGTGCACGCAGCTGCCCATTGGAAAGCTGCCACCCTAAATGTAGTAAAGTCATAGAAATGTGTGGTTATTCACTTAAGGGAAAATGGAGAAGAGGTCCAAGAACAGAATCTTGAAAACTCAAGGACTTGGCAGTGAAGAGGCAGCCAAGAGACTAAACAAGGAACAATTTATTTTTATTTTTATTTTTTATTTTTGTTGGTCATGGGGCTTGAACTTTGGGCCTGGGCGCTGTCCCTCAGCTCTTCAGCTCAAGGCGAGCGCTCTACCACTTGAGCTACAACGCCACTTCCAGTTTTCTGGTCGTTTATTGGAGATAGGAGTCTCATGGTCTCTCCTGCCCGGGCTGGCTTTGAACCACGATCCTCAGATTTCAGCCTCCTAAGTAGCTAGGATTACAGGCGTGAGCCACCAGCGCCCGGCTACAAGGAACAATTTATAATTTATAATTCCACGCAGAATGAGAGCCAGATGTTAGTTTCACAGAAATCCAAGTAAAACAAGAGGGCCCCAATGTTGAAAGTCTCTCAACTTGACTCCTGTCTCAATTTCTCTCCTCCCTTCTCTGCCACAGGTATTCCTATCACTGCAACTATTAGTTACGCATCCTTTTCAGTCACAGAAAAGCTCGGGCCTTGGAAGTAGCCATAAAAATTATGACTAGAGCATCATCAGCCTTCTGGCTAGTATGAAATAAATATCTCCAACCTAAGTGCATTCCCATTTCTCGTGTAGTTATGAAAAGCAAAGGAATTGATTTTGTAAATCTCTAATTTTTAACAGCATCTTGAAACCACGCCTGCAAAGAATTCTTGATACCAACAGATGTAGACATTTTAAAAAGATTTATTTTTGAAAGATCAGAATAGCACACTTTGTTCACTCACATATATTCCTGTTTGTTACCAGACATTTCCAGCAAACAGACCTCTTTCAGCATCTTCATCTGCTTTTCTCAAACCTCCAAAGTGTTTCCTGCTGCTGCAGACAATCACAGCAGCATGCTGGGGGTAAAGTATGGGGAGAGAAAAACAATCAGGCATGCTCCCAAATTCAGACATAATAACACGCTTGAGTGGGGAAAGTGCTCCCTGGTGTGGAATTCATGAAAGCCAACCACTGGTACAACTGCTACGCACACTCTAAAACGAATGATGTATCCACTTCACAATTTATTAGCTACTAACCCAATGTTCTGTTATTGAAAAGTATCCAGTTCTAGGTTCTGAGGAAAAAGGATGAAACTGGTGAAGATGATACTTCTTAAAATTATTAAGGATATGCTTCACCACACACGGGCCTCTTCAAACGAAGGTAAGCATTTTGTATGATAAACAATTTAATGAAATCAGAAGTGTGATCTAATCTGATTCTTCTGAAGGTAGGAGGAGATCAAAACTCCTTAAAAAAAAAACCAAACTAACTCCATTGAGCCAAGATGTCCACAGATACCTTCTATGTGGCTCCTAGTGAGGTTTAGCAGGGATGAAAAGGGGCAACTTCCTCCTTGTTTGCAGACAGCCTGAATAGGGGAAGTAAGTGTACTTAGAGAAGCAACGCGGGCACTGAGAAGTGGGAGCTTAGAAGGCTTCTGAGATAGCCTGTGACTGTTTTAGAGATGAATGTAGGACGTGACAAGCCACTGAAAGCAAACGCAGAAGGGTGATGTGGGCAGGAGGAAAGTAAGGTGAAGAGGCCAGGACGAACACTGCCTGAGCCACGTGTAGAGTTATCTCCAGGAAATAAGCAGACCGACCCACATGCAAGGAGCTCGGGGACGGGTCAGTGCCAAAAGGCAAAGGTAAGAATGGGTGGGGTCAGGTCAAGAGGAAATGGGACTTGCCAGTAAAGACCACCTGAGAAGGAGCAAAACAGACTTCATGAGCCAGTCCAGCCATGTAAGTTTAGAGTATGAAGTCTAAACACACAAGGTTAAGATTTTATAGGTGATTCATAACATGAAGAAATGGCAATCCAGTGATAAAGGGACGCTATGCTCACTGAACTGCTCTGCTAAAAGTGAATGGAGCTCAAAAGAGAAAAACAGGTCTTTAGAATCCAAGTTGTTTTCCTTACACATTACCTGGCACCTAAGATAACATGTATTTGGTGTGATCTCCAGAGTCTTGGTAAGAACTGTTCTGAAAAGCTTTATAGAGACACATTAAATTGTAAACCCCTTGTACAGCCCTTTGCAGATGAGAAAGAGAAATTTTTTTTAAATGATGAAGGAAAAAGAAAACATTCTTTTAGTTAGATGCACTAATTTACTTATATAAAAAAGAAGAGAGAAATATATAAAGCTAAAATAAATATATTCTTTCCAAAAAGGAAAACATTATTTAAGAGAAAATCAGTGAAAACAATAAACTTAAATGTTAAAAGAGCTACCCAAACTGAGCTGAAAAAAATACCACACAGGCCACTAATATAGTGAGATTGGAAATGTTAAGCCCTTGAGTATGGACACAAAATTATAAAAAGAAGTCCTTTTATTTATTCACTGTGGACTGTTTTAGCTAGGACAAGAACATCCCACATTGGCAAAAATAAAGCTAAATGCACCAGGAAGGTGTGAGGTAATGAGCAGGAGAATCTCTTTGATATACAGGAACTGGCTGGATTGTAGAAGGGTCTTCATGGTCAAGTCTCATAGGTAAGTGAAAGTATGATGACTCCATTATAAAACTTATGCTGGGCCGGGCACCTGGTGGCTCACGTCTGTAATCCTAGCTACTCAGGAGGCTGAGATCTGAGGATCTCGGTTCAAAGCCCAGGCAGGAAAGTCTCTTATAAGACTCTTATCTCCAATTAACCACCAGAAAACTGGAAGTGGCGCTGTGGCTCAAGTGATAGAGCACTCACCTTGAGCTGAAGAGCTCAGGGACAGCGCCCAGGCCCAGAGTTCAAGCCTCATGACCAAAAAAAAAAAACCAAAAACCAAAAAACAAACAAACAAAAAAACTTATGCTAGAAGCAACTTGGATTCATTGAAAATAGACGAGAAAAACTTCCATACAGAAAACTGTTTTGGGAAGACTATCCATCACCAGACTGGGTTGCTGTGAAGAAGACTCAAGACTTCCTCCCTACTGAATTCACACACCAGAACGTAATGCTCCTGACAATCAGGACATCTGCCTTCTCGTCCTGCTGCTGTGCCAGCCCTCAGCATCATCACCTGTACTTTTCAACACTGTTTCAGCCGTGGGCTCCTGACCTGCACTACATGATCCCAGTTATTTCACATGAAAAAAAAAAACCCACTTACTCTACTTAATTCACACACCAAAGAACAGTGTTAGTACTTCCACAATGTTTTAATTCCACGTCCCCAAAAGAATAAAGCTAAGTCAAATTTTGATAGTTAAATGTGCATATATTTTGATCCAGTCTTTACTTAATTAAAAAAAATTACAAACCATAGTAAACAAAAATCTCCCCCAAATGATTCAATACAGAACACTTGGGAACCAAAACACATAGGATACGTGAAATATATTTAACAAGTTTATCAGATTGACAAGTGTGATGGAAACATAGGGAACGAAACACTGGAAGAGATTAAACCGCACTCTGCAACTAGAAAACAATAAGCCACTGCGTATCATTGCATCTCATTAAAATGTATTTAAAAGTGTACTTCCCCTCTGAAAGTGGCAGTGATGATACATTATGCGCCCACAAAGCTCTTCTAAACATTTTTGTGCTAACATCACTCATGTCAGTTATAACCAATTTGATTTGGTTAGCTTCAAGGTGTTTGTGGGCCTCAGCCTTTGTGTTTCCTATTTAATCTTTGCCGTCTTTACCCATTGTCACAGCCATCCATCTGGAAATAGCCAATAGGCTTGGAGAGCAGGTGGTACGTAGGTGACTCTCTTAACCTTCTAAACCAAGAAAAGGAACTCAATGGTAAATTGAGGCTATAACTCAATACCATGGGAAGTTGATACTCAAGCAAGGTGCTGTGTCAAACTGAAGAATATTCAGGCTACTGACAGTCTAACGTGAATTTCTCTCTCTCTCTCATCTTCAGTGTTAGGATATTAGAGAGGATACACATCACTGTTGGATGGCTTCATGTCAGTCTTGCTTTAAAACTACTACTGAAAACCTGATGGTAGCTGAAAATCCTTTACAAGATGCCCTATGCGGGTGAGTTTTGTTGCTGTTTGCTGTACCATTACTGGGGCTTGAATGTGGGGCTCTGCACTCTTTCTTGGCTTTTTTTGCTCAAGGCTGGGGCTCTATTTCTGGAACTATGTTTCCATTTCTGCCTTTTGGCTCATTGATTGGCAAGAAGAGTCTCACAGACTTGTCTTCCCAGGCTGTTTTCAAACCATGATCCTCAGATCTCAGCCTCCTAAGTAGCTAGGATTACAGGTCTGAGTGACTGGCCCACCCAGCGTACAGATAAACGTTAAATCAATGAAGTTGCAAGTCTTATTAAGATTCTTGTGAAGTAGCCAGTCCGAGCTGTAAGGGGACAGGGAACATGGCAAATGCTCTTCTGGTCTCATCAAGGAAAGTCACTAGCAGTGTGGCAGGGCACTGACCAGTGACTGTGGGTCTAGGGTGGGCACTGATGGCCTTTGCTTCGTTCCTTGACATTCATCATCTCATCTTGACTTCTTCCAACCTCCTGGTAAGAAATTGTACATCAACTTCCTTGAACATAAGTGTACATTAACTTCCTGTAAGGAAACTAAAAATATTTTGATTCATGAATGTTCATTCGTTGCCCTTCAATTTACAATATGTACACTTGGATAGCAACAGAAAAGCGAATCGTCAAGCTTCGGTTTTAAATACTGACATACATACAGGTCAGATGTATTTCTTAAGCGCTATGGATATGTTCTTCTACATTCCTACTGTCTACTTAGATCGCATATGCTGGCTCCTTCCGGCTCTCCTCCTCTAAGCAGCCTCCTTAGCATAGAGCAGCAGGTCAAAGGGGCAGAAGTGCCCAGACTCCGTTCTTCTTTAGAAACCCAGTGCTGAGTGTCACTCCAGAGCCTTGTGATCACATTTGGATAAAAAGAGGAGTCAAAGAGGTCTTGGGTTTCCAGGGAAAAATAAAGTGCCGCCCCCTGTAGATCACAGTCTGTGAGTAAGTTATCTTCCTAAAGAGGTAGAAATGATAGGGGCTAGGTGTTGCCGACGCCCATTTCAATAATACTGAACACCGCAGTGGGGAGGACCACAGTAAAGCTGCGGCTTAAAATGGACTGACTCCACTCATCTCTCTGATCTTTTCATAAGTAAGCCAGAACACCAATGACCAAGGGGTCTGAAAGATTAACCAAAAAGATTAGTGCACATTTCAAAGCGATTATGAATATCTACATGTATGCATATACATCACACCTTTGAAAATGAGTAATTCTGAATCCATTTGTAAAGCACTTTATAATTTACAAAGCATTTTCATGATCTGTTTTTCAAAAGTTTCTCTAAAAAAAACCCAAACCCACCAATTTACAATAAAAAATGCTATCCCCATTTTATAGATGAGGATACTTGAAGCTCAACAATAAAATACCACACGGAGAAGAGCTAGGCCGCAGGTTTCTTCTGTTCTCCATTCTTTCGGTGTTCTCACGGAAATATCTTGAGGCCTGACTTGTAGGCTAGGATTCTCTTGCATAGTTTGTACATGCAGTATGATAATTAGAGACTTACCAACTTGAAAGGAAGGAAAAGATTATTCTTTAAGAGTTAGGTCATTAAAATTCCAACACCTGATGTCTTCTAACATGTCTATAAAAATTCACATGAAATAGGGAAAAGAGCTTCCAGCTCAGAAAGGCTTAACCTTAACCGGAGTGATGCTGAGCTATCCCTAGGAATTACAAAAGATAGAAAAGATATAACCACTAAGATATGGACCAGGCAAAGGATGCTTTGAACCTAATTTTTAGCCTCTCTCCTTTAAGTTGCATATTTAGGAGAACATATCCTAGTCAGTTGATGTATGAAGACGTGTTTATATAAGGAATATAAAGTTATAAAGGCACCACCTTCTTGTGCCAACAAAAATGAAGGAGGAAGAGGTCTTAGTTAAGAATGTATGATGGGCCAGTAGCTCACCCCTGTAATCCTAGCTACCCAGGAAGCTGAGATCTGAGGATCATGGTGCTAGCCCAGGCAGAACAGTCCATGAGACTTTTATCACCAATTAACTAGCAAAAAGCCATAAGCAGAGCTGTGGCTTAAGTGGCAGAGTGCCATCTTTGAGCCCAAAAGCTGAACGACGGTACTCAAGCTCCGAGGGGTTCAAGCCCCAGGACTGGCAAACACACACACAAAGGACTATACAATCACTTCTAGTTCTCATGGACATATTCTTTGTGCTATGACAACATCACAGGAACAAAGCCATAGGCACATAAGTAAAGAACTGGCCGGGGATGGGAGAAAGCAAAGTCCTGCTGCCTCTACCTGGTGGAACGGGTTCTGGTGGAGTTTACTTAGGTTCAGAAGGGAGTTGATGAGGGGACCATCTAACCACGGAGCATGGGTAGGAGAAGAGTGGACTTGCTGGGCCTCTGCGCGGGACTGCACGTGTGCAGCCTGCATAATCCTTCCTTCCACACTGAGATGGTGCACAGGAACCCATGTGGTTAGCTCTACTTCTTTTGTCATGCTGTTCTGTGGGGCTGGATACTTCAGAGGCTTCTTGGGTTGATGTTCTTAACTATGAAGTTTACAAGTACGCTTTTCCTATTGTGATTTGTACAGAGCAACTGTCTGATGATAACGTGGAGCTCCAGAACTGAGTTGAGGAGGCAGCAGCCAGGTTGAGGACATCACCATCTGGATATCCTGCCACGTGCCCTGAGCAACATGAACATGCCAGCTACTGCGGCCTACTCACCAGTCCCAGTGACTTGAGTGACTGGGAGCACTTTCGAGTCTGTATTCGTTTTCTGCACTTGGGCACATGCTGCAGTGGACCAACAAGGTAAGGACACACTGTGATCTTTTCTGGAGAGCCAGACTTTCTTTCTTTCTCTCCCTCCCCCGCCCCCCTCTTTCTTTCTTTCTGTTGGTTGTGGGGCCTGAACTCTAGGCCTAGGTTCTGTCCCTGAGCTCTTCAGCTCAAGGTGAGCGCTCTACCACTTGAACCACGGTGCACTTCCGGCTTTTTCTGCTTATGTGGTGCGAGGAATTGAACCCAGGGCCTCATGCATGCAAAGCAAGCACTCTACCACTGAGCCATCCTGAGAGCCAGACTTTCTTAGGCAACACCCTCCATCACTAGGCAATGTCTTCTTCCTTTCCTGTAAGCCAGCCACAGGATCCTGACCTACTCAGCACACTACACTAGTGAGGAGCCCGCACTGAGAGCAACAGACCTGCAGTCGAGTTTCTAGCTCTGTCTTGTCCTGTGAGATCTTGGACAAGTTTCTTAGAGTTGCTCTGGCTAAAACAAGACTTGCTTTACTCCCAAATCTTCTTCCTGAAAAGGATCCCCATTTGAGGAATTACTCACCAATGGTCAAGGACCGACTTGTGCCCACCACCCTGGGGTTCATGTGGCCCCTGCCTGTCTGGTCTCTGCCTTCTCCACCTCACCTTTGTCTCCTCCGGGTCTCCGTGTCCTGGCTTGTTGAGCTTCCCGCAGTTCACTGGACTTACCAGGCTCTCTGCCCATGCCAACCATCCTTCTATATTCTTAGAAAGTTTCTTTCTCCCCCATTTGCCTGCTAAGTCTTACCCATTCTTCAACTCTCGGTTCAGAAATCTTCTCCAGGGATGTTTTCTAAATTCCTTGGTGTAAACTACACTTATTTTTCTATATATCTCCACAGCACCAGCCTCTTTCCAGAACACTCTCCCTTTAACATTGCTGACCAAGGCTGAGCCCTTTAGGAAGGGTCTTCATATGGAATATGTGCTGAATTAGATATACATGTGTATAGTATTATGTCAGTCTTTGATCGTTTGAATTTCTAGGGTTATGACTCATGGTTCTTTCAAAAGACCTTATTTTAATAATAGTCTTTGGATAAGTCTGATATACATTTTAGTTCATTTTAGTTTAAAAAAAAAGTACTTGAACTACATAAGGATGATAAAATGCTTTCTTATAAAGCAGAGTTCTGTGATAGTAAGTATTAATAGGTAATGTAACATTTGTCATCAAACTAATAAATTTTAAAGCAGTAAAACTGTCATGGGAAAAATTTATACTGTGAAATCTGTCTCCCACCCCAATCTATTGTATTTTAGAGAAACAGACTAGGAAAGATTTTACCATACCAAAATTCTACCCATGAGCTTTAGAATACCTGAGCAACTGCCAAGGCACTAAACTGATTTACTTTACCTTACTAGACCAAGGAATGCACCATGATTCTGAGGAGAGGTGAAAAAACACTAAAAAAACAAAAAGACATTCTAAAAAGAGAAGATGGAGCTTGATTTGGGGGAAGAACTATTCCACAAACCAGAAGAGAAAAGGAAAATAGCGACAGATTGAAAGTAAATTAAATATAAAAGAAGCAAATTGGATAAAACAAACAACTTTACCATTCGCAGCCAAGATGGTAAAAAGCCTTTATATAGACTCAGGAAGCCTTCGCCCTGAACAGCCTGAATCAAGCAGTCAGTTGATGATTTATATAGAAGTCCCCTGCAAAGATCAAAAGACCTCTGTTACATTCTCCCCTGTAATCAGAAAACAGTAAAATACTTCCTGCTTATTTAAGACAAGTTTATAAATACATATGCATGTATACACACACATATGTACATATATGTATGTGCATATATATATTATGTAGTTTCATTTGAGCTTAAACTTTATTTTCAAGTTGACTCGATTCATTCCCACCCTTGTAGTATACTTTAGAATTCAGCCACCTGATCTCTTCTAGAGAGAACTCACTATTTTACATTAAATCAAACTCCCCATGTCACCTGAAAGCTTCTAAAGAAAGTACTCTAAATTCTCAGCAGAGTAAGCTTTCAAAAAGTCTGTGAAAACACTCAGTAAAGACTCAATAAACACCTTATGTCTAAACAATATGATTGTTAATTATCTAATCAGATGATCCCTAGAGTAGAACCTTCCATTTGACAAAAAGCAAGTAATTACCTACAACAGTTTCCTCACTGCACAAATACACTTCTATCAAGAATAATCACAAGAAAACATCTGTACAACACAATATTATTACAGCCATTAAGCTACCTACTTCCCTTGTTTGTCTCGAGGTTGATTCATTATTCGGCTTTTGATGACATCAGCTGGGGTTCCAAGAATAGAAGCTACCAGCCCAGAACATAAACTGTAGATGCAAATAAATGAAATTTACAAGTAATATTTAGTTGCTACTAAATGTTAAGAAACAGCACTTAATATGACTAACGTGGCAGGGTGCCTGCCTAGCAATCAAGTTCAAAATCTTTATCTCCAGAAGAAAAAAATAGAATACTAAATATAATATTCAATATAATGCTGTTTTTGTTTGTTTGTTTTGCTTGAACTCTGGGCCTGGGAGCTGTCCCTAAGCTTCTTTGGCTTAAGGCTAGTGCTCTCCCACTTGAGCCACAACTCCACTTGCAGCTTGTTCTTTTTTTTGATCTGTTATGGAGCTTGAACTCTGGGCCTGAACGCTGTCCCTCAGCTCTTCAGCTCAAGGCTAGCGCTCTACCACTTGAGCTACAGCGCCACTTCCAGTTTTCTGGTGGTTTATTGGAGGTAAAAGTTTCACGGACTTTCCTGCCCGGGCTGGCTTTGGACTGCGATCCTCAGATCTCAGCCTCCTGAGTAGCTAGGATTACAGGCATGAGCCACTGGCACCCGGCTACTTTCAGCTTTTTCTGAATAGTTCATTGGAGATTAGAGTCTCATGGACTTTCTTGCCTGGGCTGGCTTGGAAGCAGGATCCTCGGATCTCTACTTCCTGAGTAGCTAGGATGACAGGGGTGAGCCACCAGTGCCTGGCTTATAATGCTGTTCTTACATAACAGTTTCATCAGCCAAAAATTAATAATTATAATAAAAATTATAATAAAAATGTAACCCACAGTTGGTACTCTGTGCTGAGTCTACTCAGGCATCCTTCCAGCAGTGAAGGGGGCCTGTGGGGCCTACCCTCTTCTGGAGAGAGGCAAAGGAGAAACAAGTCATTCATTCCCAGTGCTGCTAAGTGCACTGAATAAAACCACACGGGGCGGGGGGGCCCTGTGATAAGCACTGCAGGGGGTGGTGGTGGGTGAGTGACGGACAGGCAGGATGGGGCCTAGAGGCGACTGCAGGACTGAGCTAAGCAGGTGCAGCCCTGGAAGATGAGGATGCAAGCTAGACAGAACAGCACATGCCAAGGACTCAGAAGCACTCTCTAAATTGTGTGCTGTGTATTTGTTGTGTCTCCAACAAAACTGACGTGCTGCTGCTAATATACTTGTATTATTAATATTACTAACTGTATTATTGAGTTATTAATACCATAGGATACACAGGTAGAGTCATCTTGGTGGCTCAGGGACCTAGAGTGTGAAAGTACCATCAGGAACTTCATGACATCATTGTCCTGTCAAGGACAGTAGATTTTCTAGAAGGAACTCTTTCCAATGGAGAATCAGACAGCTGTATTACAGAGGTGCAGGTAAATCCCTCCCCAGAATGTCTTTCTTCTGTCTGGGAAAAGCCATGTTCCTTCAAAACCCAAATATCTAATTCTGTCGGCGCACGCGCATGTGCACTGAGCCTGGGCGCTTTCCCTAAGTGTTTTTGCTCAAAACCAAGCCACAGTTCCATTTCTGTTTTTTTGTTAGTTAATAAGAGTCTCATGGACTTTCTGCCTGGGCTGGCTTCAAACTGCAATCCTCAGGTCTCAGCCTCCTGAGTAGCTAGGATTATAGGTGTGAGCCACTAGTGGCCAGTTCCCCTCCTTTTTATGCCCTTCCAAGTGGTCATTTTTTTTCTCCCTCTTCTGAACCCTGTAGTAAGCAAGTGACTTTAAAAAATGTACTGTCCAGTGTTTTCAGAGAACACCTGTCTGGCGGTCTCTGGGCAGGGGCCCTTCGCGGTCCATTTCACACACAGTTGTCGTGCCTAGTGGGGCATCATCATCACAACTCATCCCGGGATGGGACAGTATGGTTTAATCTAAATATCCTGCAATTTTTATCTGTCACTTCCATCTCATTGCAAACAAATGTTAAGAAAATTACTCTTCATGTATACACTATCATCCTTCTTTAGGGGTAATTGATACCACTAGGTTCCTGGTTGAAAGACCCTCAAAGTGAGCATTTAGGCCAAAAAATGAAAGAAAGATGATCCAGGAAAAAAAAAAGTCACTTACCTGGACAAGCCATGAGTCATGATATTTTCCTCAAGTGATGTATTCAACACTAAGTAGTGTTTCACTGTATCGTAAGTGGTTAAATCTGGCAAAGGAAAAAGAAGGTTTAAGTATTTGTTCACCCAACAGTGAAGAAAGATCTTTTGTGTTGAATATGAGTCTTGGAGCAGGAATGTGTCCGTGAATAAAAGATGGCATTCTTGTTTTCAAGCAGAGGAAACAGGGCTACACAGGGAGGGAGGAGCAGAAGAGGAGGAGACAGACATTTCTTTGTATCATCTGAACACTTCAACCCAGCTGTGTCTAAAATCAGCTTAACCCTCTTGGATTTCCAGTATTTGAATTGACGAATTCCTTTTTGAGTTTAAATTAGGCTGCCATGAGTTCCAGTCATGTATAAAGAAAACATCCTGATCAGGACTCCACATTCAGCTTTGTCATACTTTTTGTCATATTGTTTGTCAACGATAAGGAGGAGTTATTAGAGGGTTCTAAACAGCAAAGTTACGTCACAGTGCTGGAGTGTTATAAAGATTACCCACAGTGAAGGAGAGGAGACCAGACTGGAATATGGTAATAAAGGACACATGATCAACTCATCAAATATCAGAGTGCCTACCATGTGCCTGATACTATTCTAAAGTCTGGAGGAGAAATCCTGAGTAGAGTGAGAAAAATTCCTGCTCTCCACTGGGGGCAAGACCACAAAGTAAACTACAGATGGTATCATCTCCTGAAGTAAATCTCTGAAGACAAGTAAGATAAGAAGAGGGAACTGGAGGGGTAGAAGCATGGTACTGTTTTGAAATAGGGCGATCTGGGAGGGCATCTTACAAAGCTGACATCTGAGCAGAGGCCTACAATATCCCTGTAAATGAAGAGAGAGTGTCCCAGGCAAAAGCAGAGCCTGTCAAGCAGGGGGTGTCAGAGGACCAGCCGGAGGTATGGTCAGGCAGGGTAGGCCCAGGATGGCAGAGGAGGTAGAGGGTAGGTGATTGGGCACCATGCTATTTTGAAGCATGCTTGCCACTGTTCTGTAGAGATGGTAGAGAGACAAAGCTAATAGATACGAGATCCTAGACATGATGATGACTTAGATAAAGGAGGTGTGGAGTCCTGCTCAGCTTCTGAATAAAATCTGAAGCCAGAACAAGCAGATTGCAGATAGAAGGAAACTGAAGGTTAAAAAGTTTTGGGTACAACCAACTTAAAGGGCAGAGTTGCCATTTATGGAGACGGAGATGAAAATTCAGTTTTTAAATAAGATGGCTGCAATAGTGCCCTTGGTAACCACACTTGTGAGGCACAGTGGAGGCAAACTGGCTGCGGGGACATATGGACCAGCCTTCTGTAGTGGTCCACTAGGAGGGGACAAATCCTAGGTGGCCAAAGAAGTAGCTCCAGGGATGGAGAGAAGTGCACGAACCTGAGCTACGTCTGCAAGACAAAACTGACTAGACTAATTGGATATAAAGAGCAAGTCAAAGTGTCAAAACACCATACCTTGGGAAATGGAAAGAACCAAGATATGAGTAGACAATGATGCGCCTTGATAAATTAGTGTGGTGAATCCGTGATCACTGAGCATCTAAATGAAGATTCTAAGGAAGACAGAACTTGGGAGAGAAATCGAAGCAACAAGAGTTTGAAGTAGCACATTGAGAAACTACAAACAGAAAGATTCCTTGAAACCAAAATATCCACAAGCATGCAGCAGACACAGATGGACTGAAATAGATAAACAGACTGACTGACTTTGCTGTTTTAACTGGTGCATTCTTGGAGCCCTCAAAAATAATACTTAGCAATTTCTTAGGATCATGTTATTGGTCCTAAGATACCTTCAATAATTAATTCATTCATCACCTGTGTAATGAGAATACCGAGATGAATAAAAACATGGTCCTTGCCTTCAAGGGGCTGGTGGAAGATAGGGATGCATGGAAGACAATGAAAGGAAGTACAGAGTAATAGCAATACAGTGAACTACAGAAACACAGGAGAGGACACATGGCATCAGAGGACACAGAAGGGATTATGGGAGGTCCTGGCATGTAGGGGATCGAGAAGACACTGTAGCAGAGCATTAGGGATCTGTAAAAGAAAACTGCAGAAAGGAGGGGAATGAGGGAAAAAAGCACAGAGGTGAGCAGCAGCTTCCTCTGTGCAGGAAGCAGAATCTGTACTATAACTCGCGAACTTTATACTTCACTCTTCCCAGCAGAAGCGTCGAAATCACTCAGTCTCTGAAAGCCCAGGACAAGTTTTGTAGCCCTTTTATGTCAGGTTCCAAATGTCCACTTTGTTATCTGAATAATGAGAAGCAAGGGTAGGGTTTTAAGGGAACCAGTTACCTTTGGATTTGCATTTCAGATAAATCACTGTGGGTTGTGGCTACGCATGTGAGGATAGAGTTGGATGGAGAGGCAGTGGTCTGGTTGGGAGGTTGCTTTGTGGGCACAGAAGTAGGAAGTACCAGAGAAGGGGACGTGGAAGGATGGAGGTCAGGGGCACTGTTGGAACCTACCTCCCCAGGCCGTGCATGTGCGGGAGGTGACCGTTCTGAGATGAAACCCTAGGATGACAGGAGGGAGGCTTTCATTTCTGCTTCTTCTTTTCTAAACAGGAAAGACCAGCTGCTGCTTTTTTTCTTTTCTATTACAGCAATATTTCCTATACTTCATTTCCCATGAAGGTGCTGTATTCATTCTGGTACGTGTGCATGGCTGGTATGCCAGTATAGATGGTTCGTGTGTTTGTCTATCCATTACCTGTTAGGATATTTCAGTTGGATAGTGGGCTCTGGTTGACCTCTTGTTTTTATAAAATGTTATAACTATATGGATTTACTTTGCTTTGAAGACAGGATTTTGCTATGTAGCCCAGGCTGGCCTCAAACTCTTGATCCTTTTACCTCAGCCTCCACAGCACTAGGATTACAAGTGTGTATCACTATGCCAGGCAACACAATCTACATTTTAATGTCACCAATTAGGTGTGTACTTAATTAAGACTGCTATGTTTTCTTAAAAAAAGCCATTCACTGACATGTCACTTACTTAAAAATGCTTTCCTCCTTCTATTTTCCCCAAAGGGTCAGTGTCATTTGTGCATTCACCAGTTGTATGTATTACCGTGTCAGCAGTATGTATTACCACGCCAGCAGTGTGTATTACCATTCCAGTTTTATGTATTACCATGTCAGCAGTATGTATTACCAAACCAGTAGTATGTAGTACCATGCCAATTACCGTGCCAGTAGTACATATTACCATTCTGGTAATATTTCCTGAGTGAAAGTAATATTTAGCTTTAAATTTTTTTTATAGCTTTGTAGAGGTATAACTGACAAAATGTTTATATTTGTAACATATAAAAGGAAGATGGTCACTGAAAATGCAAAGTAAGGGGTAGGACTGTATTTCTGAAGTGTTAGTACAAGATGAACCACTTAGGAATAGGAACAAGTATAACCAGGGAGAAAATGAGGGCAGTCTGGATATAATAGCCCTCACACAATGACATCATATACCAGTTTTAATCTTTTTGTTGTTGTTGTTCCAAGACTGCAGCTTGAACTCAAGGCCTTACATCCTTGTTTGGCTTTTCCACTCAAAGCTAGTGCTCTACCAATTGAGTCACAGTTCCACCTTAGGCTATTTTGCTGGTTGCCTGGAGGTTAGATTTGTCTGCCTGGGCTGGCTTCAAACCATGATCCTCATATCTCAGCCTCCTGACTAGCGAGAATTATAGGTGTGAGCCACTAGTGCCCAGCTTCAGTTTTAATGCTAATGCTAATGCAAGGTCCAGAGTAGAAAGAAGGCCTGAGAATAAGTTTGGTCTTTATCCTTATTGCCACAATTTGTCCACCTTAGGAAATGCTATTCACACCTTACTGCATACAGGTGAATGCTCTATGGAATTGCTCACTATCACATCACCTGTCATCGATGTTATTACAAATCAAAAAGCATTTGTTTTTACAACTACAACAGCAATCAGATGTCTCAGAATTCAGTACAGTTTCTCTCACCTCCCATGTTCACCAGCGCTGCTCTCTGTATATTGGGAACCCAGCCAGCCCACAGCCCACGGATTCCTCCTTCAGCTAAGATTTTTGCAAATGCATGATGCACTCCACGGAATCTAAGGGAAATAATAACGAAGTTGAACACTCTTGGTATTCCGGTGGTGTATGTCAATGCAGTTGCATAACTTTCACTGATAGCTGCTATAATCTGAAGTAATGTAAAACAATCATATGTAGGAAGAATGCTATTAGACGAGGAAGTGGGAAGAAGTTGCAAGATTGACCTTGTTAATTTTCTTTTTCATAGAAGCAAGTGGGGGAAAGCCAGGCTTGTGTAGCCTTCGGGGAAACCTTTAGAGGTAGCCTTTTCTAAAATGAAAATTCAGACAGTAAAAGTGGCCGCCACAATTCCAAGCCACAACAACAATGGCGGAGTTCTTACAAGGGAAAATTTTAATGATCACTTGCAATAAGCCAAGAGTCTACCATCTAATTTGACAATTAAGTGGGGAGAAGCAGCAGAGTTACACATAGTCACATTTCATCAGAAAAAGAAAAGGTCCAGCTTAGCTTTCCTCCTAATGTAACTTCTCCCCCACAGCCAACCTCCTCCTTCCATATTGGGGCTTGAACTCAGGGCCTTGATTGAGCTATCCCTTAGCTTTTCTGCTCAAAGCTGCCACTCTACTACTGGAGCCACAGCTCTACTTCTGGCTTTTTGCTAGTTAGCTGAGACAAGTCTCTAAGATTTTCCTCACCCAGACCGTCTTCTGCAATCCTTAGATCTCAGGCTCCAGTTTATAGCTGTGAGCCATTGCTGCCCAACTAAATATAACTTCTAGGCTAAAAGGATCAGTAGGGACACCTTTATGGATATTGGGTTATAAAAATAAGTCCATTAGGTAAATGTTCAAAACATGGTGTTGGCAAAAAGAAAAGGAAGTGTATCAAGTATTAACTGGAGAACTTACCTCAGTGGTTTTCCCTCAAGTTTCCGTTTTCCTTCCATTTGCATCTGAACCTTCACCAGGTCTGTTGGGTTAGCTAGAAATTGGCCAATCACACCAGCCATCATCCCTCCAATGACAGACTTCCTAGGATACATGTTTTAAAAATTGCCATTAATTCCAGATTTGTATAGTGAATCCATGGCAAGAAGGTAAGACAGATGCTGGGTAAAACACAAAGTGAAAATAAAGATAAAGCACAGAGAAAGTATGTGGTTTAGCTATTTACTGACAGGAAGGACCAAAGTTAAAATCTAAAGTGTCCAGCCTTACATCACTGGAATCCAACGAGACAGTTGCTTCAAAGACATAAACATCTGAACTGACTATAATTCAAATCTGAAGACAGGGTCATAAAAGCAGCACAGTTGTAATCAGCCTCATAGACAAAGGCTAATAAACCAAAATTTAAAATCCCCTACTTTATAAGTTCCCCAAATGAATAGTATTTGAAATCATCTCTCTAAAACTCTTTTCATCTTATTATCATCCTTCTCTTCTCCTAGCCAATAGTGAGCAAGAGGAGACTGGATAATTATTATTATAAGTTAGAGACAGGATAGAGGACCACACATTAAAAATTTACAACAGGTAAGACTGCAGTAATTTAAATTTCCCCCAACAGATTAAAGATAATTTTAATGATTTCTCATAATTATTGGTGAGGTGAAATGTTGTCTACATATTCAGGATGTTAGAAGAGATGTAAAACCTGGGGCTTGCCAAAGTCTACCAATACAGGGTATCTAAAATAGAGAAGAATGTCACACTATTATTAAAACATACACAAATACGTAATGGTATAGTTTATTTATACTCACCAAATCAAGCTAACAATACATTGAATTATAAAATAATAGTAAAATAAAAATGGTTGATATTTACAAAAAATATGCTGTTAGAAATTTTAACATGAAAATGTTAAATGTGCATTAAGTTATGTAGATACATTATGTCTGTGAGGTGCAGAAGAGGCTCAATTATTTGAATTTATATTGTGATTAAGTTTATTACAGTAATTTTATTTTTTTAAACATATATATTTTATTGTAAAGATACTGTACAGAAGAGTTACAGATACATGAGCAGGGTAATGATTACAGTAATTTTAATATGAACATAAACCTTTACTAAACCTAATAGATAAGACACTAAAACTTTTAGGGACCATAGCAAATTATTTTCAAAACAAAAACAAAACTTACCAAAGTGGGTAATGCTTATCTTCACTTTTGCCAAACACGACCTCTCGGAGATGCTCGTAGGTGACCATCCGACCGCCAGAGTACACTGGAAAACAGACCATTAAATGGGTGAGCTCATGCCTGTAATCCCAGCTACTCAGGAGGCTGGGGGGCTGAGGATTGTGGTTCAAAGCCAGCATGGGCAGGAAAATCCATGAGACCCGTATCTCCAATTCACTACTGGAAAACAAAACTAAAACCAGCTGAAAACAGAAGTGGCTCTCAAGTGGCAGAAAGCGAAAACATTGAATATAACACCCACACCCCACGTTCAAACTCAGTTTTAGCTTGCACACGCACGTGTGTGCGCATACACGCACGCGCGCGCGCGCACACACACGTTCAGGTCTTTGCTTAATAAGAGGACATGCTGGCCTGGCCTCGTTTCTCGCTCTAGCTGTGTCTTTCCCTCCTGCATCTCTGCACCTGAACATGGGCTTATTGATATTTCCTCTAAGTGGGACACTTCTTTTTAAATCTCAGGACTTCACACGCCATTGTCTGAATCTTTCCAGAAAAGATGATCCCTTTTCTGTTTGTTCACTCATTACCCTTTCTCCCGCGTTCTAGGCCCTCAGTGAATGTTCTAAGAGCGTGCTTACATACTAACTAATGATCAACCCGCTCTCTTCTTGCTTACCCTTTCATCAGATCACAGCGCCTTTCTCCAGGCAGGTGTGGTTTTTTTGTCTCAACTGCTCTCGTATGTAGTTTGGTATAAAACATTTTCACTGAACAAATGTATGGAACTTCATTGGAGAATTAACACATTCCCCTAAAATTTCTAATATGTGAAATAAATCTATGTGTATGTATGTGTATTTAAACAAGTTGCTCAATTTCTTCTATCAGAATTTTTATTGTTATTATAAAGGTGGTGTACAGCGAGGTTACAATTTCATAAGTAATAAATCTTAATGGTAAAATGGTGGTGAAGAAAGTAGTTCATTACTTCAGTATTTTCCTATATATTTCTAAAAATTCAGAAAACTAACTGCAGTTGGCAAATTTTTTCCCCTTCTAATGATTTGTTGTATTAGTGGAGGACAGAAGCTTGCTGGATTTGGGAACAGAAAAGCAGAGGAGACAAACACTGAACTCGGAACAAACTTACCAGCTGGGATCAAGATAAATACCTACGTGTCTGTAAATGGCGGGTGTCACTCCTTGCCAAAGCTTTAGGAAGCCTTCCTCCTGGATGATGCCCACGGCTGTGAGTACCATGCCCCTGTAGGGGGCAGGTTGTCGCACACTCTCTCCGAGTCGAGCAAGGGCAGCTTCTCCTTGCATTTGGAGTCGAGTTTTTGTGAGATCCAGGGGAAAGGTTGCTAACAAAAGAAAAAATAGACAAGGGGTGGGGAGGGAGAAATCACAAGATTCAGAGAAACAAAGCAGATTTATAAAATCACAGGATCAGTATTTTCCTCATGATTCATGGTTCTCAAGTTTCGAAATACATCTAAGTAAGGGAAAATTAAAAATGCCCTAGACCCATTCACATGTTTTCTGCAGCAGAATCATCAATTCCCACAGGCTCCCTGCACCAGAGTACCCCAGAAAGAGGCACCAGTGAAGAGTCAGAACATTCCATGGTGTGTGTGTGCGCGAATCCTTGCCTGGGAGGTTGAAGGAGGATCATCCTAAATTCCAGGCCAGTCTGGAATACAAATCCCTTGATGTTTGCAGAAATTTACATCTAAAATCTAGTCTTCAACTTTTGCTTTCCAAAGGGGATGTTTAAAGTATATTCTGTGATATCCAATGGACTGCAGTTATGAATATATCAGCCAAGACGGATCCAACTTTAGAACCGTGTACCACGTACTCTCAGGTACTACAATAAATGCATGATGAAGCCGAGTTCTACATTGTTAGGAACCTGGTGTTTCAGAAACAGAAGATGTAATGGAATGTATGTCTTCTCTTATATGCAAGGGTGGAATGCTCAATATTCTTTCAATCAGGGCATGGATTAAGTGGCTTTTTACCAGCTCTGGTATGTTTTATGCACGGCCTACTCATGGCCTCCTTTATAAGCCTCAAATTCTGTTTACATTTTGAAATAGAGACAGATCTTTCACGTTAAAACAGTTAAGCTTCCTGATACGCATAAGAAAAATCAAGCTTATCATTATATCCAACACAATGTCTTGAATAAGAGAGGTCATGCTATCCTGACAAGTTCGTGGACACCACTGTCATAATCTAAGACTTGGCAATGACCATCACCTTTTTTGAAGAAGAAAAGAGACACTATTAAATCTTTCCAGTGGCCTTTGGAAAAGTTACTAACTTGCTAATCATTTCCTAAAACATAAATAAGCTTATGCACAGAGATGCTGACATATGAACTTGAACATGGGAGATTCTAAGTAAAAAACTTTATGAAAACAATTTTGTTTTCATTCTGGTTACTTAGTGTTTCAGGCTCAGACTCAGAGCTCGCTTACTGGAAATCCATCCCACACCCTGGCTTTCCTCTTCGCTCAGGTGCAGTCCTCCAATAATGCTCACCCTGGCTTTTTACAAGAGGAATGTTCCTGTACAAAAGTCTTTTGAGACTTAATGAGAAACATTGGTTACAAAACAAACTGGAAATAAGTCATTTGGCAATCAGATTTCAGAGTTCTTTAAAAGTTAACAGTTTATTTCAGTAAAATCAATGGGAAAAAAAAAGAATTCCCCATCAGCTTAGAGAAAGGAAAAAAAAAAATAGAGGGGCCAAGGGGCCAGATGAGAAGAGTATAAACAACAGGTCATGACCATGTTCCCCCGACAGGCTAGAAATACAAAATAGATTTGTGTTATGACAGGGCTGTTTTCAAATGACTAACACATCAGGGCTGTTACTTTTTAATTGTTTTAATGGGGGGGAGAAAATAAGGGTAAGTGAAAGCACAAAGTTAAAGTCTCACAGAGACCACGCACTCTCCCGGTGCAATTATTGGAAGAAATGCCACCTCCTCAGGCATAGGCCTCCTCAAGCCTGCTAGGTGGTCTCTGACTCATTCAGGAAGACTCTTCTTCCAAGCTCTTAGGAGGTGATCACTAGCACATTAACTCCAAATAACCACCAAATGGCCGCAAGTGGAGCTGTGGCTCAAGTGGTAGAGCCCCACCTCGGGCGAAAAGGTTAAGGGACAGGCGCCCAGGTCGAGTCCAAGCGCCTCCCCCTCCCCCAACCCCTCCCCCCTCCCCGCCGGCTACTGGCAAAAGCGGGGCAGGGATGATGCCTCGGGCGGGCGGAGGGGCAGCTCAGGAAGCTCCTCAAAAGTACCCCATTGGGGCTCGAGAGCGCATCCCTGCCCCGGCAAGGCCCGCCTGGCCGCGGCCGGCCCAGGCCTCCCGCCGGGGCAGGGGGCTGGGGGAGGCCCCCGAGGCGGGCCTGGCCCGGCTCTGCAGCCCGCACGCCCGCGCGGCCCTCCGGGATGCTCGGGGCCCGGCCTGGTCCCACGGCCCGCCCATCACTCCCTCCGGGCGCCACACCGCGCCGCGGCCCTCGCGGGGACGGCGGGTACCTAGCTCGGCCACGGTGGCCGCGCAGCCCGACAGGAGGAACTTGCTGGCCCGCGGCCATCGCTGCGCGAGCGGCGGCCGCGCCCCCTCCTCCTCCGGGACCGACATCCAGCGGCAGGTCCGGACCGCAAATGCACCCCCGTTCTCGCCGGCGCCGCTCAGCGAAGGCGGTCCCTCCTCAGCCCGCCAGCGCCCGCAGAGGACCCATCTCCCGCGCTGGGCTCCGCGCACCCGAGACACCGAGCGGGGCCCCGCCGCCCCGCACACCGCAGCCCAGACACAAAGCCGAGTCCAAGAGGCTTCTGGGAAATGTAGTCCTTCAGGCGCGGCGATGGCGCCGATTGGTCCGCAGAGAGATGCCCGTGGCCTCGCCACGCCCCGTCTCCATGGCAACCGTGTGCGAGCGCTTCCGCCCGCCCCGCTCAGCCCGGGACTTCTTTTTCTCTTTTTGCGTAGTCGGCAAACATTCTCGAGAGAGGTGTGGGGTGGGGCGGAGACTTGGAAGCGAGGATGCCGAAGTCGCTTAAAAGTCGGGGCGGGGAAGAGGAGCTCCAAGTACGCGAGAGAAGTCGCGGCGAAAGTTGTGGCCGCAGGATCGGGACGCCCGGCGGCTGATCCCGAACCCGCGGCGGCGGCGGCGGCAGGGCCCGGGCCGCGGGGCTTTCCCCAGCGTCTCCGGCGGCATGGAGCTGCTCTCCGCCGCCGTGGCGGCCGTGCTGGCGCTCGCGTGCGCGGTGCTGGGCTGGGTGCTCGGGCGCGGGCGCCCGCGCGGCCCCCCGTGCGTCCGGGGCTGGCTGCCCTGGGTCGGAGCCGCAGCCGAGCTGGGCCGAGCGCCGCTCCAGTTCGTGGAGCGCGCGCGAGCGCAGGTAGGGGCGGCGCGGGGCGGGGGCCGGGGATCGCGTCCGGAGGGCCACGCGAGCCGACTCCACGCCGCGGCCGCCGCGCCTGCCTCGCTCCTCCCGCCAGCTTCCCACGGCAGCGCTGCTTTGCGGTCGTGGGATTCTCAGTGTCTACATATACCTATTATATCTATATTATATCCATCTGTTATATCTATATTATATATGTCTATCATATATCTATTATATATATCCATTACATATATCTATGTTTATTATATATCTATTATATATGTCTAATATATCTATTATATATACCTACTATCTATTGTATCTGTTATATATGTCTTATATCTTTTATTTCTATTAGATATCTTATATCTATTATATCTACTACATATATCTATTATATCCATTACATATATCTATGATGTCTATTATATATCTATTATATATGTGTATTATATATCTATTCTATTATATATCTATTATTTCTATTATAGATATCTATTATATTTATATCTATTATATATCTAGTATATATCTAGTGTATGTATTATATACCTATTACCTATTATATCTATTATATATGTCTATTATATCTTTTATTTCTATCTATTGTATATCTTATATCCATTATATCTATTATATATCTATTATGTCTATTACATATATCTATTATATCTATATTATATCCATCTGTTATATCTATATTATATCCATCTATTATTTCTAGTATATTTGTCTATTATATATTATATATATATCTATCATATCCATTACTTATATCTATTATGTCTATTATATATCTAGTATATCTATTATAATGTCTATTATATATCTATTATATCTTTTATTTCTATTATATATATATCTATTATCTATTATATCTATTATATATTTATTTTATCTGTTCTATTATATATCTATTATTTCTATTACATATATCTATTATATTTATATCTATTATATGTCTAGTATATATCTAGTATATTATATCTGTTATATGTCTATTATATATATATAATTATATATATTATATCTATCATACCTATCTATTATATATATATAGTCTTTTCTTTTGCAACTATTTATTGAGATGAAGTGGTTACAAATGTTTCTCAACATGGTGGCATCGTTCTTCATCAAAGTCACCAACGCATTTTCACCTCCCCAGGGACAGTCGACATCAGCTTCCATCTGCAAAGTGGATGCACTCCACGAACTTTCACCAGACTCTTCCTTCCTCTCCAGGTGGTGAGGGGGTGCATTTCTTCCCTTTGGCTTGGTGTCAGCTGCTCCCTCTTTCTCTCTCATTCCCTCCCTCCCATTGCCACCTCCTTGAGTTGCTCAGTTCATTTTCCTCAAATGTCCACTGCAGCTGATGGGCCCCTGTGCTGCATTTTTTCACCCCTTCTCCTCCCCCCACCCCCATCTTCCCTCAGATGTGCAAGTGTACACACCATATCTGAGGTAAGGACTACAGAGTCATCTGCAAATGACACATTAAGAAGAGGTCCCTTGTTGCCTTGTCTCTGGGGTTCTTTTCAGTCTGTCTATTGTTTTATGCACACATGAAGAAGGGACTTGGGTGTAACAAATCTGGTGTTACTCTCGAAAGACCGACCTCTTCTGGTTTCACTGCATATGGGTTAAACGTCTACATATTAACTCATTGTTAGGAATACATGGAAAGACAGACGTTTAGTAAGATTTTAATTTCTGAGAAATGAGTAATACATATTCAGTTGGAGCCAACTGCAGGATTTTAGAGAAATTCTCGCAGATTCCATCTTGACTTATTTAGGGATTTTTTTTTTGATTGTTATAGATGATACCTCTCTCCCCCCCCCCACCCCACATTATACCCTCAAGAGTGTAGAAATCGTTGTAACATTTTTTTTTGTCCTTAAAGCATCTTTCAATAAAGGTCATCATTTTAGAGAACCCTTTTAACTCTTTAGCTTTTGTTCAGTTATGAGTAAGGGTTAGCCACCAAGATTTGGATGCTTTAATAAATTTGTGTGATGTTATCATCATCATCATTATATGTCATATTTCAGTATGTTCTATGCTGATCTCTCTCTCCATGTAGGTTCTTATCTGGTTACATATCTAGTAGTCTTAAAAGCATTGTTGACTATTTTCTTGCAAAATCTCTGATCCCAATTTGGTTAGGAAAAAAAAGTGGAGAACCCTAATGAGAACTCAGATGAAAGCGAGAGCAACTGAGAATCTCTCTCGAGAAATAAAATGTTGTGGAATTCACAGGTGTGTTATTTTGGTTGTCTCTATGCACTTACAAATGTGCACCACAAAGGTGGAATGATACTGTCACAGCTCTTTGAGTGCTCCTAACGTTGACACGTAACGTGAGTAATTTCCCCATGCCATTAAGTATTTTTCTGAACCTCATTTTTAATGGCTATGCTTCATCATATGAGGGTTCTGTTGCTTTTGTACGTGATAAAAATTATGCTGTTGAGCAAAGAGTTAAATATCTTTTTTTTTTTCTGACACTCCAGCTCATTGTTTGATGTTTTGAGTGCTAAGAATGTTTGGACTTCCCTCTACCACTACCCTGGATAGGATTCTAAGAAAGGATGAGCAGGCCCTAACTTTGGTATCAGGGCAATATCTAAAACCACAGGAGTGCTTCAAGCCTCAGGCAGTAATGACCACACCAAGCTAGGCTTCACACTAGGCTAGTTTTCTCTGTAAACACACACACACACACACACAGAAAGAGAGAGAGAGAGAGAGAGTGTTAGGAAGAGAGGGGAGAAGGTGGAGGGAGGGGGGAGGGAGAGACAGAGACAGAGAGCACTGCAAGTCTCCTTTTGGCTTTAACTCAAGGTCTAGCTCTGTAGCCCAGATTGGTCTCCTTCAGTCTTCTGTCTCAGTCTTGAGTGCTGGGATTACCAATGGAAACCACTACACTTGATCCCCAGTCTGCTTTTTTTTTTTTTTGTCGGCCGTGGGGTTTGAACTCTGGGCCTGAGCTGTCCCTCAGCTCTTCAGCTCAAGGCGAGCCTTCTACCACTTGAGCTACAGCGCCACTTCCGGTTTCCTGGTGGTTTATTGGAGATAGGAGTCTCACGGTCTCTCCTGCCCGGGCTGGCTTTGAACCGTGATCCTCAGATCTCAGCCTCCTGAGTAGCTAGGATTACAGGCATGAGCCACCAGCGCCCGGCTCCCAGTCTGCTTTCTTGAGCCAGTTTTAGAGAAGCATAGGACAAGGGGCAGCATGTTCTCAGTGAGTCCTGTTTGTGTAGGTCATAATTTCATTTCTCTGGAGGTAATCTTTGAAGACTCTCTAGTCCTTAAAGATTTGGATGGGAGAATCAGTCTACTTTTTCAACAGTAGTTACAACAGATTGTATCTAGCAGCCTCGATTGAGGGGTGGCTCATAAATGGCAGCCGGACAAGACTGCATATGGCATAGGAAATGTTCAAGGAACGACTTCCAAATCTCCATTGTGAGCACCGCTTCTAGTGTCTTCTGCCCTTGGAGAAGGCAAGAAAGAGAACACTTTGATGACTGCAAAAATCTTCCCTTCATAAGTTTCATCTTTGAATGGGTTATGCATTGATAGCATTTTTCAAAATTCTGTGTTTTGTGCCTGTTCTGGGGCTTGAACTCAGGGTCTTGTGATCAGGCCTGGCTGTTTTGGCTCAAGGTTAGCATTTTTACTGATATGGTGGAGGACATAAAGATGGACTACCATATTTGACTTGAGTTATGTAAAATGGATAATGAATGATTTTTTAAGATATAAATGTAAGTGTGCTGTGGATAAGACTTCCCTGGTAACTCATTACTTTAGCTAGTAACTGCAATTGTAACTCTGTAACTCCCTAACTCTGCCACTCTGTAACTCTGCTTCTGCTGTTTTCTGAGCAATGGGAGCCCTAACCCAGCGGGCCATCACCACCCTTTTTTCTATTCTCCTGCTTCCCACAAGCAAAACCTTGGCCAGAAATTTAAACTTAAGGTGTGCATTTCTTGTAACAATCATTGGCTAAAACCAACACTCAGCCTCCCCCTTTCCCTGCCCTAGCCCCAAGTGTTTAAAAGCTGATGTGGGCTGGCACTCTGGGCCGTTTCCTGGGATCCCAACTCCAGGTGCGGTTCTGGCGCATCAGCACTTTTCGCTCAATAAAATCTTTTACATTTTCACAGAGGACTGAGTGGTCTCACTGCCCCTCCCCACTACATTACCACTTGAGCCACAGCTCCATGTGGTTCATTGGAAATAAGAGACTCAAAAGTCTTTCCTGTGCAGGCTGGCTTTGAACTGGGGTTCTCAGATCTCAGGACTCCTGAGCAGCTAGGATTACAGGCATGAGCCATCTAGTACCTAGCAATTTTAAAATTTTGAAGATAAAAATGCTACAGTGAAAAATTCCCCTGACCTCGTTCTCCCTTCTACTAGACCAGCAGCACTTGGTTAGGAATGGGACCCGGTGCAGTGGTCCACTAGCACTCTAATTCCTGTCGTATTTATAGTTTCTTTAACCTTATGCCATCAAGTGCAGCTCTAGATCTTATTTCTCATCATTTATAAGCAAAATGCATCCCACTATTCACATTGTTCTTTGGCTTTGTGTGTGTGTGTGTGTGTGTGTGTGTGTGTGCGCTCATCTTGGGGCTTGAATCACAGTTTTTTGGTCAAATGTTATTTAACATCTTTGCAAAACAATCTGTTATAGAACTCCTAATTCCTTTTCTAAAAGATGCCATGGTTTCTACTTCTTTAAAGCACAAAGCTTTGAAATCTCTAGCCTTCTGACTTCAGAATTTGTCGGTAAGAGATAAGAGATAAGTAATTAACTAAAATTATGTATGATTATCTACAATTCAATGAAAGTATTTTGAACCAGTGTTTGATATTGCACTAAACTAAGCCTGGAGTCGTGGCTCTTTCCTCTAATACAAGCTATGCAGAAGCTGACATCTGGAGGATCATAGTTTAAGGTCAAGGTAGGCAGAAAAGTTCTGTAGACTTTATCTCCAATGTGACCAGCAAAAAGCAGAAGTGGAGGTATGGCTCAAGTGGTAGAGCACCAACTTAGGAGGCTCAAGGCCATTAGTTCAAACTCCAGTATTAGAGGAAGTGAAAGAGAGAGAGAGAGAGAGGGAAGGAGGGGGGAGGGAAGAAAGAAGGAAGGAAGAAAGGGAGGGTGGTAGGGAAGGAGGGAGAGGGGGAAGGGAAGAAGGAAGGGAGGGAAGAAAGGAGGGGGGGAAGGAAGGGAGGAAGGGAGGGAAGGAAGGAAAACTTAAGAAAGAAAATCTTGCTAAACCAAATTAAAAATTGTTGGAGATAATAGATTATTCCTCCAAAAAGGTCATAGATCTTCTGACCTAGCCCTAGAATATGTCTATAGGTTACAGGGAATGATCTAAGAGAGAAGGAAAATTAATGATAGCAGAGAAAGAAGGCCCCTGCTATAATTATTCTTTCATTCTCCCTCCCTCTTCCCCCTCTCCCCTCCATACTGGTACGGGTGGCTTGAACTCAGAGCCTGGGCATTGTTCCTGAGCTCTTTTGCTCAAAGCTAGTGCTTTACCTCTTGAATCACAGCTCCACTTCCAGCATTTTTTGCTTACTTGGAGATAAAAGTCTCAGGGACTTTTCCTGCCTGACTGGCTTCAAACCATGATCTTCAGATCTCAGTCTCCTTGATTGATAGGATTATAGGTGTGAGCCACCAGTGCCCAGCAATGATTATTTCTTAATAATTATTTTATACTGTAAGAAGGGATGATGTGAGTAAATAACAGCTGTATTTTAATAGATACATTAGGATAGAATAAATTAGAATTTATGGGTGAAAGCAATAAAAATTTCTAATGATTACCAGATATAATAATTTTTATCTTGGCTATAACTTTGGCATTGATATTCTTGGGAAAAAATTCTTAAATATAACCTATGGTTTAGAAATATTTTTTAATGTAGTAACCTGGGTTTATGTATTTTTTTTTCAGTGTGGACCAGTGTTCACTGTCTTTGCAATGGGAACCCGAATGACTTTTGTTACTGAAGAAGAGGGAATTAATGTCTTCCTAAACTCCAAACATGTAAACTTTGAACTAGCAGTACAAAAACACGTCTATTGTACAGGTAACAATAACTTTTCAGATAGTTCTTGGAAGTTCAACCAGTAGAATCCAAAAGTGGCTCTAGGTAAAATTCACATCCTGATTATTTCAATTCTTGAGGTAGAACTAGTACGAGAAAATAGTTCATAAAGTCTTGATCATTGAAAACCAAATTATTAGTAGCCTAACAATTCAGATTTCATTTGGACATTTGACAGAATAAGTGGTCCCATTTTGATTTCTTTTTTTTTTCTTTTAAAAAACTTAGGAATCTATAACAAAACTCTGTTTTGTAGCAGTGTATACTATGTTGAATTATATGTGTCACCCTTCTTCCTGAAAATAGAATTCCTTTGCTTACTTAGCTAATTATTACAGCCTTTATTGACATATCCTCTGCCCCCCCCCCCCCCCCCCAGCCTGTAAGGTGACGACCTTCTTACAAATTCTCCATCTAAGTCAGAGGCCGCTGGATTGTCCAGGAGCCAGCTTCCCTTGCCCAGAGCTTCACTTCTTCCCAGGCTACAAACACAAGTCTCTATTATTTATAAATTTGTTAACATGCCATTTTTATTGGGTGCAGTTTTTAAAAAAGAATAATAAAGAAATAACTAAATGAAATTTCAAAACAAAACTTGAAATCCCTGTGCGTCAATGCATGGCTCAGGTGCTGCACAGAAGATGTCAGCCAGCCCTGTCTTATTGTCATTTGTGTTCATCTCGTTTTGTGATCAGCTGACTATTTTACTGCAGTAACTTTTGTCAAACTCATCCCTTAAAACCAATTGCTAGACTTTTACTGTCTCACAGTGAGGGTTGAGTCCTTGTCTACTTTGATTTGCAAGGGATTATTTTATGTACCAAAAGGACCTTGATTAACAGTCTCTACTGACCAAACGATAGACATATTGACTGTATATTTCAAGAAATTGTTTCATATTTTGAAAACAATTTTCTCTATTTACAGCATCAGTTCCAAAGAATATCTTTTTCACCCTGCATGAAAAATTATATATTACAATGAAAGGGAAAATGGGCCCATTCAACATACATCAGTTTACTGGGAAGCTGATAGATGAATTACATGAGCAACTCGGAAATTTAGGCTCTCATGGGACTATGGACCTCAACAACTTAGTAAGGTAAATAGGGAAACAGATGCTTTAGTATGATTTCATCTTGAAGTTTTCAATTAAAAAAAGAAGAAATTTGAACCAGTCTGCTAGGTTTCAAAAATGAATTGGTGGATAATTTTCTGCCTATCTAGGCTATTAAGAGAGTAGTAGACAAACACAGTCACAGCTCAATGTACATCTGTAAAAATGGGATCGGTACCTTGGGGGGGATGGAAGGGGTTGGGAGAGATGGAGGAGAGTAATGGAAGTGGTGACATGGATGAAGACATGCATTATACTCGTGGAGACATGTTTTATTGCAGCTCCTTGGCCATTCTCCATATCAACTTATTTCTAATAATTGTCATACATCTGCCATTCAATGGAATTTGTGACTATTAGGATTGAATGACATAGAGGACAGAGGAGAAAGAGGAGAGGACAGAGTCATTAAGTAGGTGACAGGTGCTCAGGAGATGTTTGTGAGACTTAAGGCAGCTATGAAGGGAAGTTCCAAGAGATAGGAGAGATGGAGAAGAGCCAAAGAAGGAGTTGGTTATTCTCAGGAGATTTCTGGAAGAGTTAATGGCTGGCCATGGGAGCCATGAGGGAAATTATCTATGTACATAAAGAGATTTGGGAAATTGAATTTCTTGAAGTGCTTTGCCGCCACAGAGTAATCCTGAGACACTACAGACAATTTGACAATCACGACTCAACAGAGAATGACCGAACATTTTATTAGAGGTCTGGGGAAGGTGATGCAAAACAAAAATACCAACTGAACTTAAAATTTTACTAAAGCATGCCTAGTATCTGCAATAAAGTAAAGCAAATGTCTGGACAGATAAGAAAATCTTCCGGAGATGCTAAAGGAATGCTAAACGTTTGTGACAATCAACTATCTTTAATATTGTTGTTCTAAATATGCCACATTTTATTTACACACAGTAAAAATTATTAATGGTCTTCTTTCAGTCTCCAGTAATTTAGATGTGTGGGAGCCTTTGAGCACTTAGGAAGTGCGGTAGTCAATATGGACTCAGTTCTGTATTTACTTTTTGCTCCCAAAGACACGGGAGTCTCAGAGGTGTTACTATTTTCCTAAGAAATACTTATGAATTATTCCCTGAAGAGTTTAATATGCTTGCTTCAAAGGGACTTTAATCTTCAGATAAATAAGAGCACCATTTCAGTTATCCCCTTATTGTATCTTGACCATAGCAGATATTGAAATTCTTTATCGAAAGCATGTGTCATGCACCGTCTGCTCCTGGCACATCACTGTTAAATACCGCCCTCTTTTGCATCTATCTTGTGCCTTTGTGACCAGTGGGTTTGACTAATGGTGTGTGTCTCTCTTTGCAGGGATCTCCTTTACCCAGCCACAATGAATACGGTCTTTAATAAAGGTTTGATTCCCACAGACAAAGGAGAACTCCAAGAATTCTACCAGCATTTTGAAACATATGATGAAGGCTTTGAGTATGGATCCCAGTTGCCAGAATGGCTCCTGAGGTAGAGTTGTTTTCTATAGTTGATTCTTTGATGATGCTTTCTCTGGGCAACTTGGTCACCCTCTCGTCCTTTTAAAGTGGAATAACAGTAGTTAATGAGGAGAGAAGCTATTTCTATGACCTGCATTTCCTTTTTCTTTTCCTTTTTGATGGGGCTTGGGGTAGGGGGTGAAAGTTTTACTATGCAGTCCAGGCTGGCTTTGAATTTGCTACCTTTCCACTTCAACTTCTGAACGTTAGACATGTATCACTACACCTAGTTCTGTGACATCTTTGTTTTATTGAGGGATGTGTACAAATTGATGGAGAAACACGAACATCTTCCTTTTTCCTTTTTTGGTGAGCAAATACAGAGAGAAAGAAAGGGGAGAGGAGGTGAGGGAAAAGAAGAGGATGGGGAGGGGAGAGAGGAGACAAGAGGAAAGGAAAAGAAAGAACGAGAAAGGGTAGAAGAGAGAGGGGAGGAGAAGAGGGGAGGGAAGAGGGGAAGAGGAACAGGAGGAGAGGAGAGGAGAGGGGAGGGAAGAGGAGAGAGACTAGATGAAGATTTAGGGCTATAATCATATTGATGTAGCTTGGATCTCTGCTAAATCACGTGTGACCACTCGTAGCCACATCCTCTTTGAGGAGAAACAAGGTGTGGTCAGTCGTATTTCTTTCTCTAGGTCCTGAAACAAGGGCATAATCCCCTTGATGAGGACATCCCCTCTACTACCCCTCCCATCATCCTGACATCTCCATGAAGCCCCCCCCCTCACCCCCATACTATCACCTTAGGGACTAGGGATTTCAACACTGGAATTTGGAGAAACACAGATACTTAGGCCTTCTATACAGTGGCAACTGGCTTAACCCAGCAGTTGGTCCCTGTGATGGCTTTTCTGCCTCAGTTACTCGAAACAGCCCACAGTGAAAGCAGTGATTTTTAAAATTCAATGTCAACTAAATGGAAATTCAAACACTGACTTGTAAAAAATGTTTGTTTTATTTCTCCTCGTCCTCATGGACTAATAATTCAGAAGGCAGACCTCTTATGGAAATTCTACCTGAAAATGAAGAAATGCTGTAATTCCAGAATCACTTTTCAGTACCATGGTTTGTTACTCCTAACAGGGTTTAAATTAATATCTACACATATGTTTTTTTGCATGCAGAAACTGGTCAAAATCCAAGAAGTGGCTTCTTGAAGTCCTGGAGAAAAATATTACACACATAAAAGCATACAAGTCTGAAAAAGACAATTCTGTGGCAAGTATCCCTTAGCTTCTTCTGCTAAAATATGTGTGATGAAGATAGTAACCAAGTTCAGTTACTGGAAACATTTTTTTACTACAATGCATGTATTTATTGGATGCTGTTTTTTTTGTCAAATGCTGATGGTTTGCATGGTAGATGAGGGCCAGGCTTTTGTTATGCATGCTTTAGAGATAGACATTTTGTTTCGCTTCGTTTTCCTAAGGGTGATAGTTCTTGAAAAAATAGCATTTCTTTTTTTTTTTTAATTATTTTTGATTGCAAAGGTTATGTACGGAAGTTTTACAGTTACATAGTAAGGAAATGAGTACAATTCTTGTCAAACAGTGCCCCTCCCTCATTTTCTCCTGCTTTCCCTTCCTCCACAACTGCCCCCCCCCCCAGTTATAAAATTCATTTCCAACACAGTGTCTTGTGAGTATTGCTTTGAATTGGTTTACCTTGTCCTTGGTCTCACCATTTCAGATTCCCCTTCCCATCCCCAAATCAGATAAACATATACAAGACAAAGGGTACTGAAATAAAAATAGTGACAACAGGGAGTAAACCAAAGGAAAAATAAATAAAAAAGAAATAACTGTATACAGTACACTTAAAAAAAGAACCTCTTGTTTCCATGTCTTGTAATTCATTTTGATTAACATCATTTTATAAGGCCATATGTACATAGCTATTGTGATTCTGTGCTAGAACTATCCTAGACACATACTAGTTATTACAAATGAGGGAGACCATGTGACCTATGTTTCTTTGGGTCTGGCTTAGTTCACGTAAGAAGATTTTTTCCAAACAGTTCTTAAAATGTGATCTGCATGAGAGCACACACACACACACACACACACGCACGCACACACACGCACACGCACACGCGCATGCGCAAACATATATACACACATACCACAAAAAGTAAATAGCCAAAGCAATCCTTGAGCAAAAACATCAGAGCTGAAAGTATTACAATACCTGACTTCAGATTACATTTCAGAGCCATAATAACAAAAACAGCACTATGTATGTTGGTATGGTAGGAAAACTGGATATCCACATGTGGAAGCCTGAAGCTTGATCCCTTCCTCTCACCTTATTAAAAAATAAATTCAAAATAGAGCAAAAACTTCCATGGAAGAACTGAAACTTTGAAACTACTTGAGGAAAATGTAGAAGAAACACTTCAAGGTATAAGTAATAGGCAATGACTTTCTGACTAGAATTCTGATAGCATAGGAAATAAGAGAAAGAATTTACAAATGGGGTGACATCAAATTAAAAAGCCACTGCAGAGCAAAAACAATCATTACCAGAGTGAAGAGACAGCCTAATGCTTGATAGGAGATGTACTCATTACCTTGCTCATGTAACTGTAACCCTTCTATACAGTATTTTTACAATAAAAAACATTAAAAGAAAAAGAATGGGAAACAATCTCTGCTGGCTGTTCAGCTGACAAGGGATTAATATCAAGCATATATTAAACAAAAAAGCAATTAAAAACAAAGAGAAATAACCCAGTCCATATATGGACAATGAAACAAACAGTTTCAAATGAAGGAATATATAAATGTCCAGTATGTTCAACATCTTCATGCATAAAGGAAATGCAACTCAAAATATGTTCCCATTCCAAGCCAGGTATCAGTGGGCTCCTTCCTGTAATCCTAGCAACTCAGGAGGCTAAGATCTGATGATTGAGGTTCAAAGCCAGCCCAGACAGGAAAGTCTAAAAGACTAGGACCGATGAACCACCAAAAGTGGGAAGTGTTGTTGTGGGCTCAAGTGGTAGAATACTAGCCTTGCATGAAAAAGCTAAGGGATAGTGCCCAGGCCCCAAGTTCATACACATACACACACACACACACACACACACACACTACATTCACATTCCATTGTACCTTAGTCACTCTTGATGGCTAAAGAATAACACAAAAAAAAATGTTAGTGAGAATGTGGAAAAATGGTACATTTATCTACTATTTATGGGAAAGTAAACAGTACAGCCACTCTGGAAATCAGTATAGAGGTTCCTTACAAGACTAAAAGTGGAGCTACCATATGATCCTGGTCTTCTGCTCCTGGTCTCAACATCTGTCAGCCCCATGGATCTTCCAGGGCTGACTAGGCCAGGGCCCCGCCCTCTCTCCTGGTTCGTGTGCATTTCCCAAGAGCCTGGCACGAAGTCAAGGCGTACTAGGTCAAAGTAGACAACCTTTCTCAATGGTGTGGGTGTGTGAGTAGCTTCCCTTCCCCCCTAGGACTGCCAAACAAGCTCTCAAGTGTAGAGATCCTTTAGCATGCTTCAAATGACAAGCCCAGGGAGTGGCAGAAATAGAATCGTGCATTCTGTCCTCGTTTTGGTAGTATTGGAGTATGAAATTTGGGTCTTGCACTTACAAGGATATCTTCTGAAGTGAAGAAAAAATGTGTGTTCTCTTATTTATGAATATCAATCTTTGTCACATGGCCGTAGCTTGACAATATTTATTCCCTTTAAACAGACGATAATGCAGGCTGTACAGGATGTTATAGAAATGGAAAAAAGTGAACTAATTCCTAACTATGCGCTCTTAATGCTGTGGGCCTCTCTCTCTAACGCTGTTCCCGTAAGTACATGATGAAGTTCGGGCTGTGTGTCTCTAATGTACTTGTGTTGCTTCTCTTTTCTTCTCACTCCCCCCTTTTCTCCACTTCTTACACTTCTTATGGGGAAGAAAAAGAATTAAGTAGTGAGATAATAAACAAGGTTGCTCTGACCAGGTTCTGAAGAAGGCAGGACAGAACTGCCGTAAGTCCTCTGAAAGGTAGCCTGTGACAGGCTGAGGGCAAAGCCGGCCCTTTGCAGGGGGCTTAGGGGACCTGGGCACTGGGCACAGGTCAGTGTTGGTGAGGTCAGGTGAGTAAGGGTTGGCCTCAGCTTTTTTTTTTTTTTTGGTTGGTCATGGGGCTTGAACTCTGGGCCTGGGCGCTGACCCTCAGCTCTTCAGCTCAAGACTAGCGTTCTACCACTTGACCCACAGCGCCACTTCCAGTTTTCTGGTGGTTAATTGGAGATAAGATTCTCACGGACTTTCCTGGCTGGCTTTGAACCGTGATCCTCAGCTCTCAGCCTCCTGAGTAGCTAGGATTACAGGCATGAGCCATCACTGCCCTGCTGGCCTCGCTTTTTACTGGGAAAGAGAGCAAGCAAATGGATCCTTACAGACAGTATTAGGCTTAAATCTGGACCTCTGCAGCCATAGGCATAGAGTCTGATTGTAGTAGCTTGAACTCTGTGCATCTAGTGGTTAAAAAGAGAGGAAAGAGAAGAAGACAGAGACAGACAGACAGACATAGGTAACTCCTAATACATGGTACCCTTTTTTTTCCTAAAAACTTTATGTGATGGTTCTACAACACAAACCCAGCTGGTGACCATGGGCATGAGCCCCACCCCCTCCTCCCACCCCAGAACTCATCTTCCAGTGCTCCACCACCATTTCTTTCCCTGTGTTTTCTTGGTCCTGCAAGCTGGAATAGATTAATATTGGAACTTACAATATATGTAAAGTGAGCAGAGAAACTGATGTTTTTAATGATTTATTTTTGAGACAAGGTCTCCCTATATAGTCCAAATAGACCCTGAACCCATGATCCTCTTGTCTCAGCCTCCCTAGTAATATTGTTACAAATGTACAGGCTGCACGCTGTAAAATTGCTTTGTTTTTGTTTTGTTTTTAAAGCTATCATGAGGTAGATTAGAAGCGGGAGGTAAGAGCCATGCAATTTGTCCACCACTACCTGTCCAATCTATTCCGGCTTCCCGGAAGGAAGGTTCAGAGGAAGCAAGCTGCGCTTATGTCATCTGAAGTCCAAGGATAATCCTTGTGATCTACAAACAGGAAGACATTCAATCCATCTCCCATTAAATATTCCACTTCTCTTCCTGCAAATAGAAATAAGGAAGCTGTTTCCAGTATCACTCAATTTTCCATCATCTTTCTGAAGGCCTTAGCAACTAAAGGATTTCCAAGTCCTGAATTCCTAGCATCCTTTTACCCATTGTGAAATTTATTGGGCTGATGGCTGAGCTGGAAATTTGGGCTTCTTGGCTGCAAAGTTGTGCTTCTCGTGAGAATATATATTTTATCTGGGATTATCCAGTAAAAGCCGTGTAATTCCTTCTCCTGCTTTGTAGACCATGGTTACTCTGAATTTTTTCTAAATAATGGGTCTTAGAAACCGATTAAGCTACAGCAAAGCATTCAAGCAAACATCAAAACAACTCCCCAAACAACAACAAAACAGACGCTTTTTGTCAGAGCATTAATTTCCAACATCTCATTAAATAGGTCCCCTGGAAGAAAAGCACACAAAGCACCATTGAACCGACAAAGAGCAAGTCAGTTCTTTGCAATTTGTTCCTGGCACTGGTCTGAAAGGATGTTAATCATCCATCTCAGAAAGCGGTGTCTGACAATGAGTGGAGGTCCTGTCTTGCCAGCTCTTACTGGCACTGATGTGTGAGCTGAGTCCTCGGACAGACCAGCGAGCGAGATCCAAAGCCCGTCTCCAGCACTGGCAGACCGTGGGCTAGTCACTTAACCCCACCCAGTCTCAGTGTCCTCATGTGTAAAACGGGGCTCATGCTACTGCAGATGGATGTGAAGAATATACTGGGAGACATGGGGAATGCCTAACAGTACCTGGCACATCAGTGGTCCAGGAACGTTGGTTTTCAAATGATTACCCTGGCTCAATCGCTGATGACTTCCTACTTTTTTGTTTATTTGCTGGTCCTGGGGCTTGCACTCTGGGGGCTGGATGTCATCCTTGAGCAAATTTTGCTCAAGTCTAGCACTCTACCACTTAAGCCACAGCTCCATTTCCAGCTTTTTCTGTGGTTAACTGGAGATAAGAGTCACCCAGAGTTGTGCCCTGCATGGCTTCAAACTGTGATCCTCGCATCTCATTTTCCTGAGTAGCTTGGATTACAAGGCATGAGCCAGGCCCTGGCCCATGGTTGCTTTCAGCAGCTCATGGTTGCTTTCAGCAGCTCATTATGAGTAAATAGAAGCCAGGTGCCGGTGGGTCACCCAGCTACTCAGGAGACAAAGATCTCAGGATTTGCAGATCAAAGCCAGTCAGTACAGGGAAGTCCAGGAGACTCTTATCTCCAATTAACTACCCAAAATCCAGAACCAGAGCTGTGGCTCAAGTGGTAGAACACCAGCCTTGAGCACAAAATTCGGAGACCGCTCCAAGGCCCTGAGTTCAAGGACTAGCTCGCGCACACTCACGTGCGCGCACGCGCACACACACACACACACACACACACACACACACAAATAGTGAAAATAGACTGCCCAGGTTCCCACATGCTTGACTCTTCCAAGGTGTCCTGGAAGGCATTGTGCTCACTGTCCTGGCTTTTATGACAGCTCAGTTCTGCTAAGAGAACTGCTGAAGCCCACCAGAGGAGTCCCTGGGAGATATGCCCTGGGAGGGGCGCAGGTCACGTTAGCTCCCCTTGCCAACTTTGCAGTCAGCCTCAAAGCTCATGGGGCACAGATCACAGACAGGCTTGGGTCCTGCCCCCTCTCCTCTCGAAAAATACCAGTTAGTAATCACAGAAACAGTAAACACGATTACATAACTGCAAAGACTCCTCCTGCGTATTTAGTATTATATAACACATTTTATTCACTCGACTTTCTTCTATATACTTTTAATTTTCAAAAGGTACCTTTTGGAAGAGTGAAAAATACTGTTTTACAGGAAAAATCTGTTTTTTGTCTTTTTAAAAAAAGCATAGCCATTTGTAGTTCAACAAATCCTACGAATTTGCCATACATCAGCACTCAAATTGAGCGAATCTGTGTAAGTACAATTTGGCACAGGAAACTGAGTCCTCCTCTTGTGTAAATGAAGTCTGTCCCCTGTGGCTAGGATTTTCCCCAGCACAACTCTGCTCCTCTGAATAAGATGAACGGAGTATGGAGTGCAGGGAGTTAGTTAGCTGTGTGGATGGAAGGAGAAAAGGCCCTCCCTACCCCCCCCACCCCCCCTCCACCCCCTGCCGGGAGGGAGGACAGCAAGCATCGTCCTGTCTCTGGACGACGTCCCAGTAAGATGGCTTCTGGATAGCAGAGGCTTGGTTCTCCTGTTCATCTGTCTCTGTGAACATGACATTATCAATGTCACATCAGCTAGAGGAAAGCAATGACCAGGTTGCTTCTGGCCCACGTAAACCAATGTGCTCCAACAATTGATCTACCACTTTTGACCACAGAGGGGAGTGCTGGGATTGTTGTATTGTTGCTTTATAAAACAGAAAAATGAGGCAACATGATGAAGTTACATCCAGTGTTTTCGGAGTCATTTCAAGGCTGATTTCACAATGTATGTCTGTAATAGAAACGGAGAAGCAAACCACTGCTGCTTTTTAATGATCTTATATAGGTTGCATATACGTGTAATCTAAGAACAGAAGCAAAAAAAAAAATCTACTTGAGATGTATAGCTGTATACTTTTATCTTTCAATACCCTATTAAAGAAAGATAATAAAATAATATTGATAGAGAAAGAATATGAAAATGTAGTATAGTATTTAGGAATGAAATGTGTCTATTTTCAAGTAGAATTCTCTTCCACTTTATGAGATTTTAGGTATGGTTTTTCTGGATTTAAAATTACCATTTTAATGTGCAGAAAGTAAAATTTTCTGATGCATCTGTATTTTAAGAATTAATTTTTTAAAAATACATTAGCTTGAAATTAAAATTCCTGTCATAAAATTTTGCTTCTAAATATTGAATATGTGCCTGCTTACATAGTATTTTCCTTGCTTATTATTAGTATTTTATCTGGCTTATTAGTTTAAGAACAGCCCATTATTGTTACCTTAATGAAGTTATTTTAACCTATATAAAAAATATAGTAAGCCTATACTGACAGAATGAAACTATAAATTTAACTTCTTAGAGGTACGTAACACCTCTTTTCTTAAAATCTAGATGTTTCCCAAGGTGCTCCTTACTAACATACTTTAAAGATTAATGAAAACATTGTCCTTATTTTTTGTTTATGTCTCATACTAATTATGCGCTTGTCAGTAATTTTGTTGTATGCTTTTCTTTTTGAGATTGCATTTTGGACCCTCGCGTTTGTCCTGTCACATCCTGACATCCACAGGGCCATCAAGGAGGACATAGCGTCTGTGTTCGGCTCAGCAGGTAGTAAACAGAGTACATTTACATAATTGATGACATGTCTCATAATCCAGGCTGGCCATGAAGGCTTTTGAGTTTTGATCTGGACTATCTCAAAATGCCATGCTTCAGTCATGGTCCCAGGATGATAACGCTGGAGTTTCATGGAACCTTTAGGAGTTGGTGGAGGGCCTCGGGTTGTTGGGGTGTGTGTCCTTGGGGGAGCTAGGAACCTGCCTGCTGCAGCTGAGGCAAGCAGTTCGATCTGCCAGCTCTTCCCGGCCGATGCTATGGGCCACACCCATTAGAGGCCCAAAGCAGTGGATCTGCCCAGGCTGGGCCTGAACCTCCAAAACTCTGAATCAAAATAGTCCTTTCCTCTTTATATGTGAATTACGTGGGTGTTTTATTATAGTGAGGGAAAGTTGATTAATATAACTGCAAACATAAATACCTGTCTTTGACAGAAACTCAACATCAGTCATTCAAATGGCAATGTAATTTGTTGTGTGTTTCAGGATATAAAATGATTAGATAGAATCCTAATTATAGTCAAGCACCTCTGAGGCTGTTGAGTTCTTATTGTCTAACTTACACATATATAGGAATGTGTGTGTGTGTGCATGTGTGTATATGTACACACACACACACACACACATATATACATAAAGTGTTTTTCCCTAATATATTGGCCCTCTTACATCAGTGGACCAGCAAGTACACAGTTTTGGAATTGGGAGATTCGGATGTAAGTAATGTGGTGCACATTTGTATCACAACAGTATTGTGGGTTTGGAAGTCAGGCAAGGTTTATCATCAAAGATATATGACAAAAAAACATTTCCCTTACTGTGGTTGAAGACTTAGGGGTTTAGAAGCTACAGATAAGCTAGGTTCTGGTGGTTCAAGACTATAATCCTAGCTACTCAGAAGGATGAGATTTGAGGATTATATCAGCCCAGGCAGAAAAGTCTCTGTTACTCTTATCCAGCAAAAAGACAAAGGTGGGAGTATGGCTCAAGTGGTAGGGAACTAGCCTTGAGTGAAAAAGCCAAGCAGGAGTGTGAAGTCCTGACATCAAGCTCCAGTACCCACACAATAAATAAAATGTACCTAAAAAATAGCGCATAGTTGGGTCCCTCTCTGTAGATGAATCAGGGCAAGGATTTGAAAGTAGCCAGGAGCTAAAGAAGCAAGTATGTATACCAAGAGCTGGTGGAGGTCAAAACCAGCAGACATGATCCCAGAATTCTCTAACATCACTGTCACCAGCGCTATTCATGTTGAAAGGATTTGTCCCTTTTTCCAGAGCAAGATGTGAGCATATTTTTAACAAACAGGTGTCAGGCTGTGAGAGGATATCTAAAGAGGAGAACACGCCACGGCCTCTGCCCCGCTGAGGCCTTTTTCTTCGCTCTTGACCTTCACACACACTGTCCTTCCTTTTTCTTTCCTTTTTTCTTTAGGTCCGAGACCAGGACTCGAACTTGGTACCTGGTGAATTTTGGTCATTGGCTCATGCTCTACCAACCGAGCCATGCCTCCAACCCCAATCCCTTCCTGTTTTCACGGTCTCCTTGTTTCCTGTTTCCAGACTTCCCTTTTCCCCTGACTGTCTGCTCTTGCAGGTGAAGTCCGCTGGACGTGTATCTCCTCTGACGCCAGGGCAGATGTGACTTTGCTCCTTCTCCCTGTCAGCTCGCCCTCACGGCGGCACGTGGCCTTCCTTCCTCACGGCTCCGCGCACGCCAGGAGCCGGCCTTGTCACCTCTGCCTCTTCTGGGCCTTCCTATCACGCGCCAGTCTGGCTTCTCTACGTTTTTATGTAGACACTGTTCTTTTCTCGGAGTGTTTCATTGAGAGTTATGCAAGCATTGGATCATCTTTTCTATTTTTGTTCCTATTTTGAAAATGCTGAAGTAGAAAGTCTTAGTCTGGTCAACTCTCTGGAGACCACAAGACAAAACATTCAGAATCAATAAATACACTGGCCTGTGACATTGGGGGACTTCTAGATCAAGATTTGTTTTACATTTCATTTGCCCACTGTTGTCTTGTTTATATATTATAAATTATATGATGTCCTTTATTCTTTTGGAAAAAAATGTGTTATTAATTCAGAAGAAGGTTCCGTTTTATCTTCTGGTGAATGGAGAAATTGAAAACCTCTCTTTTAATATAGGAGAGTAATAATTGTGAAAATAACATGAGATTATTTTTCTCAAAAGAGGATCTTACAGGATTGACAGTGACACTGGACTTCCTTTGAAATGACAGAATGGAATTGTGGGTACATTTTATGGCACCTGTAGGGGTGGTGGAAGGAGGGAGGGACTGCCAGGCTTTCTGTTCATCTTCTCACTTGTGTGTTGTAACAGCCTCTTATAAACCAGGTTGCAGTCTCTGCTATCTATCAATCCCTCCTTATCACTGTCTCTTTCATACTTTCTCTGTTGTGAATGTCAGTCCAAAGCAATGGAGCAAGCCCACTTCTAAAAGGTTATTGCTTAGAATTCTTCAATAGGAATGTATATCTTTTGATAATAAAAAAGTTATCCTAAGTCCCTTAGATGCTCAAAAGTCCTATCTGTCTCCAGAAAAGTTGTAAGAACTAGAGTTGGAAGCTCAGAAATGACCACAGAGCTTGGACAACACTGGCGTCCGGCTGGGGGGGTGGGGGGTGCCTGCAGCAGCTGGGCTCTCCCTGTGGTCCCTAGGCCTCCGTGTCCATCTCTGAAGTTCATGGACCATCTCTCAATTGTTATTCACCAAAAGTATTTTTAACCACTTCCTAGGACTTTCTTTTCACTTTATACTTCTCCATTTTATTCATTTAACTGGTATTTTTCTTGTATCAATGTAGTAGTTTGGGGCAGAACCTATATTGAGGAAACAGTATCATGTTATTAAACGCTCTTTAAAAAAGAAACAAACTAAGCTGGACACCACTGGCTCACTCCTGTAATCCTACCTACTAAGGCTGAGATCTGAGGATCACAGTTCAAAGCCAGCCTAAGCAGGAAAATCTGTGTGTCTCTTAGCTCCAATTAATCAGCAGAAATCTGGAAGTGGAGTTGTGGTTCAAGTGGTAGAGCTCCAGCTTTGAGCAAAAGAAGCTCAGGGACAGTGCCTACTAGGCCCTCAATTCAAGCCTCAGGACTGGTACCAAAAAATAAAAATAAAATAAAACACCTAATTAAAAAAAAAAAAAAAGTCACATTCCTGGGTGGGAACTTTTATTATTGGGAAAATGCCAACTCCTTTAAAGTTACTATACATTTAAGTAATTATGATAAAAAAATTCTAATGAGGCTTTTTTACATAAATTACCAAAATGACGTGCTTTCTTGTAGAAGAATAATTATGGTTTAAAAAAATATAAAAACATAAATTAGTAAGATTAGATATTACTGAAAAACAACTATGACAAAAGAATACAGAGGGGGCGGGAAGGTGGCTCAGTGGTAGAGCGCTTGCCTTGCATGCCTGAGGCCCTGGGTTCGATTCCTCAGCACCACATAAGCAGAAAAAAGCTGGAAGTGGCTCAAGTGGTAGATTGCTAGCCTTGAGCTGAAGAGCTGAGGGACAGCGCCCAGGCCCAGAGTTCAAGCCCCATGACTGACCAAAAAATATATATATATATAGAGAGAGAGAGAGAGAGAGTAGGACTGGGAAATACAGTACCACCATTTTGTTTATTGCCACCAGAAAACCACATTTATAATGTTTACTTTCAAAAATAAAAACAATGGGGAAATTTCTATCCAGCTTTCACATTCTTGAAATACATCCCAATTTACCTGTATTTGCAATAAGTTAATAATATTGTAGGAACCAACAGTAAGTAGAAAGAATCTATACAAGAACATTTATAAGGAAGAGCAATCAATTAATGCTTAACTTCCCTGTACCAGCTACTGCTTCATAGTCTTTCATCTACTCTCATTCTCCCCTTCTTGATTTTTTTTTGGTCTGTTGGGGGCGGGGGGCTTCAACTCTGGGCCTGGGCGCTGTCCCTCTGTTCTTTAGCTCAAGGCTAGCATTCTATCACTTGAACCACAGCGCCACTTCCGGCCTTTTCTGTTTATGTGGTACCGAGGAATTGAACCCAGGGCCTCATGCATGCAAGGCGAGCACTCTACTACTGAGCCACCTTCCCAACTTCTTCCTTCTTGAATTTTTTATTTTCCATAAGCTCGACCTGGATACTAATAAGCTGCATCAGTGCTTTACAAGAAAAGAAAAAGCTGAAATAATAGGGAAGCAATATGGAATCCTGACGTTTCATCAAGTTTTGGAAAGGTTTCGAGTCTCAACACGGAAAGCATATACTTTGCCTCCAATGCTAGCTAGCACAAGCCTTGTTTTCAAGAAGGCTGGAAACATACTACAGTTTTCATTTTATCCTCATCTCTGGAGCTTCCCTGAGAGGCCCTTCCTCCACTGATCTTTCCCTCACATTTGAGAAGACTCAGAATGAGGCAACAAGCTAGATCTCATCTCCAGGAATCCGCTTGAATCTTCCTTTAATGCATGGATTCATTTTAGTATTAAAATCTGTTTGGTTTCTAGCTAGTTTAAATGTCCAGGACTGTTTTTATTCTGTGTCTTAAGTGACAAAAATCAAGACTTTACTCCTTACTAGGTGAAGAAGGATGTAGAGGTTTGCTGATGTCCCAGGTCTGTGGTTTCTGCTACTGGAGGAAGGACCAGCCCAAAGCATCAGCTGCCACACAAGGGAAATCCTGCGTGTTCATTTTGTTGAACAATTAATTCCCTCACGATTTGCCCTCTGCTTAAGCAGCTTCACTCTGTGACCTTGTTTACTCACTAATTATTTTGGCATTTCTTCTCTCGCTCTCCTTGCCAGTCTCCGCATCTCAAGGTGTGATAAGCCCCTGCTATCAGATGTCAGTCCTCAGAAGTTGGGGGGAATGCAGGACGTGTGAGGAGAGAGAAGGTCCCCAGGGTCGTCATCCAAAGTTAAAATGGGTTTGAAAGTCTGAAAGACCAGTTTCACTGCA